TGGCCCAGTATCACTCTGCGGTCATTGATGCCATTGTCACTATTTTCAAGACTCTGGGACTGAAGTGCGTCCCATTCCTGGGGCAGATCATTCCCGGCTTCATCGCCGTCATTAGAGGATCGCCTCCAAGCCGTCTGGAATCTTACTTCAACCAAATGGCGATCTTGGTCAACATTGTGCGACAGCATATTCGTGCATTTCTTCCGGGGATCATTGAAGTTATTCAAGATTTCTGGGACGTGTCCTATCAAGTCCAAGCTACTATTCTGTCTCTCATGGAAGCCATCGCTTTGTCACTGGAAGGCGAGTTCAAAAAGTACCTGGCCGGTCTCATTCCGCCCATGCTGGAGACTCTAGATAATGACACCACGGCTCGTCGACAGCCATCAGAGAGGATCCTTCATTCCTTCCTGATCTTTGGCGCTAGTGGGGAGGAGTACATGCATCTGATTGTTCCGTCCATAGTACGCCTTTTCGACCGGACTCAGAATCCTCCCACCATTCGGAAATCTGCCATTGAAAGCCTCACGAAGCTGTCGCGCCAGGTTAATGTGTCCGACTTTGCCTCTTTGATGGTCCACTCGTTGGCTCGAGTTGTTGGTGGCACCGAGCGTTCGTTGCGACAGCCTGCAATGGACTGCATCTGCGCACTCATCTTCCAGCTTGGTCAAGACTTCAGCCACTATATTAATCTTCTCAATAAGGTCCTGAAAAACAACCAGATCACCCATGTCAATTACCAGATACTGGTGACTAAACTGCAAAAGGGCGACCCGCTCCCGCAGGATTTGAACCCGGATGAGAACTACGCAGCCCTAGCTGACGACGCAAATTACGCTGAAATTGGCCAGAAAAAGATGGTAGTCAACCAGCAGCACTTGAAGAATGCATGGGATGCCTCACAAAAATCGACACGCGAGGACTGGCAGGAATGGATTCGCCGTTTCAGTGTAGAGCTTCTGAAAGAGTCACCTTCTCCCGCACTCCGTGCATGCGCCAGTTTGGCGGGTATCTACCAACCTCTTGCAAGGGACTTGTTCAATGCGGCTTTCGTGTCATGTTGGACCGAGCTGTATGATCAATACCAGGAAGAGCTGGTTCGGTCGATTGAGAAGGCACTCACCTCGCCCAACATCCCGCCCGAGATTCTCCAAATCCTTCTCAACCTTGCAGAATTCATGGAGCATGACGACAAGGCATTGCCCATTGATATTCGTACATTAGGCAAATATGCTGCGAAATGCCATGCATTTGCCAAGGCTCTCCATTACAAGGAACTTGAGTTTGAGCAAGACCAGAATTCAGGAGCAGTGGAGGCCCTTATTACCATCAACAACCAACTCCAGCAGTCTGATGCTGCCATTGGTATCCTCCGCAAAGCGCAGGCTTACCGTGATGTTGAACTTAAGGAGACCTGGTTCGAGAAGCTCCAGCGATGGGAAGAGGCTCTTGCCGCTTACAAGCGACGTGAAAGAATCGATCCAGATTCCTTTGGCGTCACGATGGGTAAGATGCGGTGTCTGCACGCTCTTGGAGAGTGGAAGGTGCTTTCGGATCTTGCGCAAGAAAAGTGGAACCAAGCGTCTCTGGAGCACCGGAGAGCCATCGCTCCTCTGGCTGCGGCTGCTGCTTGGGGCCGTGGTCAATGGGAATTGATGGACTCGTATCTGGGTGTCATGAAGGAGCAGTCTCCGGACCGGTCATTCTTTGGCGCTATTCTTGCGATCCACCGGAACCAGTTTGACGAGGCGACCATGTATATTGAGAAGGCACGAAATGGCCTAGATACGGAATTGTCGGCCTTGCTTGGAGAGTCCTACAACCGTGCCTACAACGTCGTGGTCCGCGTACAGATGCTGGCTGAACTGGAAGAAATCATCACGTACAAGCAAAACATCGGCGACCCTGAGAAGCAGGACGCCATGCGCCAAACCTGGAACAAACGGTTACTCGGATGTCAGCAGAACGTCGAAGTGTGGCAGCGCATGCTCAAGGTTAGAGCACTTGTTACATCGCCTCGCGAGAATCTTGACATGTGGATCAAATTCGCCAACCTTTGCCGCAAATCCAACCGCATGGGCCTTGCTGAGCGTTCTCTCGGATCGCTGGAAACGGTTGTTTCTGACATCAATGGTACTCGGTCTGTTGCTCCGCCTGAAGTCACTTATGCTCGCTTGAAGTTCAACTGGGCGTCGGGTGGTCAGCGCGAATCTCTAGGAATGCTGAAAGAGTTCAATGCAACCCTGACAGAAGACTTTACGCGGTTTAATGCTCTCATCATGTCACAGACGGATCATGCCATTAATGGCGTGAACGGCATGGTGGACGCGAACCATGCCGATATTGCCGGCCTCCGTGAACGTGTTGGCGATGTTGGCAAACTCCGACGTCTTCTTGCAAAGAGCTACCTCAGACAAGGAGAATGGCAGACTGCATTGCAGCGTGGTGACTGGAACCCCGAACTCGTCCGTGAGGTCTTGAATGCGTACGCTGCGGCGACAAGATACAACCGTGATTCGTACAAGGCCTGGCATTCGTGGGCGCTGGCCAACTTCGAAGTCGTCACTACCATCGCTAGCCAAGCTAACCGCGAGGGACAGCCTCCGGTCATGGTTCCTCAGCATATTGTGACGGAGCATGTCATCCCTGCTATTCGCGGCTTCCTGCGGTCTATTGCACTGTCCTCGACATCGTCTCTGCAAGACACTTTGCGTTTACTCACCCTCTGGTTCACTCATGGCGGTGACCAGGACGTTAACGGTGTCGTGACAGAAGGGTTCACTGCAGTGAACATTGATACTTGGCTAGCCGTTACTCCACAGCTTATTGCACGAATCAACCAGCCCAACTACCGAGTCCGTACCTCCGTCCACCGCTTGCTGGCAGAAGTGGGCAGGGCACACCCGCAAGCACTCGTGTATCCGTTGACAGTTGCCATGAAATCCAATGTCACCCGCCGGTCTCAGTCTGCCAGTAACATCATGGACAACATGCGGCAGCACAGCGCAAGACTCGTCGAACAGGCCGATCTTGTGAGTCACGAACTGATCCGTGTTGCCGTTTTGTGGCACGAGCTCTGGCATGAGGGCTTGGAGGAAGCTTCTCGTCTTTACTTCGGCGACCACAACGTGGAGGGCATGTTTGCAACCCTGGCACCGCTCCATGACATGCTTGATCAGGGGGCAGAGACTCTGCGGGAGGTGTCTTTTGCGCAGGCGTTTGGACGTGACCTTGCAGAGGCTAAGCACTACTGTATGCTGTACCGTGAGACAGAGGAGATTGGCGATCTGAACCAAGCTTGGGATCTTTATTACACCGTGTTCCGGAAGATCAGTCGCCAGCTCCCGCAGTTGTCCACTCTCGACTTGAAATACGTTTCGCCTAAGCTTAAGGATTGCTCGGATCTTGATCTGGCTGTGCCGGGTACCTACCAGAGTGGTAGACCCATCATTCGGATTATCAGCTTCGACCCTATTCTCCATGTTCTGCAAACGAAGAAGCGGCCTAGGAGGATGACACTTAAGGGAAGCGACGGTAGTTCTTACATGTATGCTCTCAAGGGGCATGAAGATATTAGACAGGACGAGCGTGTCATGCAGCTTTTTGGTCTCGTTAACACTCTGCTTGATAACGACGGCGAGAGTTTCAAGCGCCATCTTTCCGTCCAGCGATTCCCGGCCATTCCGCTCTCCCAGAGCTCTGGTCTCCTGGGATGGGTCTCCAACAGTGACACATTACACGCGCTTATCAAGGAATACCGAGAGAGCCGTCGAATTCTGCTTAACATAGAGCACCGTATCATGCTCCAGATGGCACCTGACTACGACAACCTTACACTCATGCAGAAGGTCGAGGTCTTCGGATACGCTATGGACAACACCACTGGAAAAGATTTGTATCGCGTACTCTGGCTCAAGAGTAAAAGCTCTGAAGCCTGGCTTGAGCGACGCACGAACTACACACGTTCGCTTGGTGTCATGTCCATGGTCGGTTACATTCTCGGTCTGGGCGATCGCCACCCGTCTAATTTGCTTCTCGATCGCGTTACGGGCAAGATTGTTCACATTGATTTCGGCGACTGCTTTGAAGTTGCGATGCATCGCGAGAAGTACCCTGAGCGGGTGCCGTTCCGGTTGACACGTATGTTGACATTCGCTATGGAAGTCAGCAATATCGAGGGTAGTTATCGGATTACTTGTGAGGCTGTGATGCGTGTTCTGAGGGAGAACAAGGATTCGTTGATGGCTGTTTTGGAAGCGGTAAGTCCTTTTCACCTCCCCAGTCATTTCAACTAAGCTAATTGTTGCAGTTCATCCATGACCCTTTGATCAACTGGCGTCTGGGAGTCCGTGAATCTCCTCCGGAGAGGATGTCCTTCGTGGCCGAACGTCGCCAGTCGGTGGCTACAAACCTCAACCCAGAAAATGGTGCCCAGCCCAGCAACTACACCCGTCCCCGCCGTCCTTCCATTCTTGAAGGCGGTATCCTGGATGCTCAAGAGGGCATCCCCAACGAAGCCCGGGAGCTGCAGAACGCACGCGCATTGCAAGTTCTTGCTCGTGTCCGGGAGAAGCTGACGGGCCGCGATTTCCGGCCGTATGAGGAACTCAGTATCAGCGACCAGGTGGACAAGCTGTTAGCGCAGGCGACAAACGTGGAGAATATCTGCCAGCACTGGATTGGATGGTGCAGTTTCTGGTAATCGATTCGATTGTTTCTTTCTTTCTTTTGATACTCGATTTGTTTGGAGTGGTACGGCGCAGGATTGTCAGGTATGATATTATTGATACGATGTAATTTGTTTTGCATGGCGCGGATATCAATTTTTAGTTATGTCATTTCTGCTTCATGTTATGTAGCATATATTCTTATTCTACCAATAATCAGTTGTTTGTCATGAGGCTGAGGACATTTCCTGTTGCACGTGAGTTGAGTATCTAGGAATTCTGGAAATAGAGACATGTTTGATGTATAATTTTCTCATGAATAGCTAACAATTCCATACCCAATTCATCCTTGTGGCAATTTCCTATTCTCCTACCTTAAGCAAACACTGATTGCTGTCAAATTGCCGAGGTTCGGCGGTGCCCAACTCAGTGTGCCACTTCACTCTTTAGCCGCACATACAACACACCCCTTCTCTTTCTTCCCTAACTAATACTAGCATTATCTCTAACTAAAATGCCAGCCCCCGATACGACTCCAGTAGACCCAGACCCCGCCATGTCTGCCGATCCAGCCGTTGACGTTGACCCAGCCCTCCGCGCGCTCCTCCGCCTCTCCCTGAGCAGTCAGGAGTACAAGCTCCTTCACGAGCGCGCGCCTGTTGCCGTTAAGAAGAACGCGCCGTCTCCGGCGAGATTCGAGGCGATTGTGCGACCGAAGGATAAATATAATGACGCTGCGATAAGGGAGTCGTTACGGGTGTTTGTGGGTTCTGGGTTGTTGTTGAAGCTGGTTGAAGTCGTTAGTCGGCGCATGAAGGGCGGTGTCGGCGCCGTTGCGAGGTAAGCACCGCATGAGATATATCAGATGTCAAACGGTAATTGACGCGAGAAGCAAAAAACGATCCATCATTCATTCCCCCAACTTCCGCCTCCCTCTCGCCCTCGCCCTCGTTGTTTTCTTCCACCGTCGCCTGCATCGCTTGTTCGCGCGCATCCGCGCAAGCCTGCGCATCGACAAAGCGCAGCCATTCCGGGAGCGAAACCCGCGTCTAGCTAAGGCGTTGACGTCTCGATATGCACCTGCTGTCGGGGGGAGTTTGGCCGGCTTTGCGCTGGGGATTGCTCCGCAGGCGCAGTTGCGGATGACGGCGGCGATTTATATGAGTACGCGGACATTGGAGTTTCTGTATAATGTTATGGAGGAGAAGGGGTGGTTGAAGAATAAGCCGTGGTGGTTTGGGAGTTGGTTGTTAATGCCTGTGTCGTGTGCGCAGCTGTTCCATGCGTTTGTATTTGATCGCGAGACGGTGCCCAAGGTAGTCCTTCCCATCTTGCCCGATTTATCAAGTATGTATGCTGACTGCTATTGGATAGTGGTTTGGAAAGGTCGTTATGAACTCGCCCAGTTACATACAGAGTCGACCTGCTTTGCTTCCTGTGGAGATTCCCTGGCCAGAGAACGAAGAAGTGGTCGATTCACTCGGTAGCATTGCCAACCTGCGCTGGCCGTACGTGAGAACGACTCCCATGAATTTTTACGAAATTCTAATCTACGCCTCCAGGCCCTTCACCTCGCCGATCCTGCATCCGTCCAATCCCAACACCCTGCCAGCAGCGATCAAATCGATAGCCCCGATTACCGGGCCCGCTCATCCCTCCATCTCCAGTCTCTCGTGCGCACTCCTACACCCAGCCGTTCCCAGCTGCAACACAGCTTTCCTGCACCACATTCTGCTCTCCGTCCCCCGGATCGCCCGCTTTATGACAACCGTCATGCTAGCAATCTCCATTCTCAAATACAAATCCTTCACCACCACCCCCCTCGCCTCCTTCCAAACCCTCGCCAAACGCATCCTCACCCTAACAGCCGTCCTCTCCACCTCCATCGGCTCCACCTGGGGCAGTCTATGCCTGTGGAACACGCTCCTCTCGCGCTCCGCCCTCCCGACAAAACGCTTCTTCCTCAGCGGCGCCCTAGGCGGCCTCCCCTTCGCCTTCCTGGGCAATAACTCCCGCAGCGCATTCATGTCCATCTTCCGCAGCGCTGTCGACTCCGCATGGAAGTCTGGCGTGAAACGCGGGCTGTGGAAGGGCTGGACCGGTGGCGATCTGGGACTGATTGTGGTGAGCTGGGCAGTTATGGGAGCGATTCTGGAGAGAAGGCCTGGCGCTGTTCAGGCTGGGGGGTTGAGAAAGGGATTGGCTTGGTTGAGGGGGGATGGGTTCTTGGATCCGGTTGAGGTGTTGGAGAGGAAGAGGGCGAGGAGGGCTGCGAGGAGAGAAGAGCGTGAGGTGGCTGAGGGTTAGGCTTGACTTTGGTTTTTATGGTCTTCTTTTGGTTCTTCTGGGCTCGCTAGTTATTATTACCCTGTACTGCTATGCGTAATTACTAAATCAGTTATTATACTGGCTTATGAGTATACAAGTCTATGTTGCCTAGGCATATATAGCCTACAACAACAACCACACGCGATAATACATCACCAACTGACAGTAATACACTGTTAGTCAGTAAGTCACTGGGTATATGCAGAGCGAAGTCTCAGAAGAGAGCGCGACAGTCAGTGTATGCCAAATTAGGAGCACAACTAATCAGAGCGCAGTAGGCAAGGCAAGGTGAGTCCACTTGCTAGAAGATTCCTAGCCTTCTGTTCGGTAGAAAATTCTCTAATCTGATTGGGCTAAGCTCAAGATATCGAAGCATATGCGCGCCACTGGGATACCTAATCCAGTCAACAAGAGGACAGTAAAATTCCCGAATAAGACCGCAGAGCCTCACCCTGCAATAAATTAACCCGGATTACATACGGATTGTAGACATCTTTCTACCCATGAATACTTCAACTGCCCGAGTTATGCAAATAGTTGTGTAGGAATATTGTTACTAGGTCTGTGGTGATGATGGGTTTGTGTATGCCGATCCCAGAATACTCCATACCAAATCCCGAGACATGGATCAAATCCCGAAGGTGTTCATGGTCCTTGGCGCTTTCATGGTTCGGTCTGCTTGAACGAACCTCTATTATAAATATCGAGATACCGGTGTACGGAGTAGCTTGGCTTCGATGCTGGAGCATCGAACATTCTTCAAGTCTGGTCTGGTCTGGTCTCGTCCTTGGGTCGGCTTGGTTCGCGACTTGGAGAATGTACGTATTTATAGTGTCGAGCACTAGTGAACAAGAAAGCGAACGAAAACGAAAACGAAAGCGAAAGCGAAAGCGAAGTAGATCCGTATATGCTACTTTTGAAGAAATTGCACATTGACTAGGGGTATATCTAGACGCCCTCAGCATCCGAGTGGAACATGAACCAGAATGCAAAGGATTTCTGATCTGTATTAGCAGATTGCTGTATTCGCCACACGCCACAGGACAGTGGTAGCTGTTTAAAAGGAACCGGGACTTCGCAGTTTACAGAGTATGTATTTCCTTGCTCTCACCGGAAAGGTTGATGTCACTCGGTAGAGTCTTCCGCCTATGAGAGTGTCTACTTGACACCACCTCTAGTTTAACCCCAGAATACTCCATACAAGGATACTGGGAAGCAAGTAGAGAACTTGATAGAGACGGATTTTGTAGGATTTGCCTCACTACAGTACTGCTACGTACAGTGGCATTTCCACAACATCCGTTGCTATCAGTCTTACACCAGGTAGCTATAGGTAGCCTTCTGGCATAGTGACTAATAGATTTAATGTATTGATATGACCAGCAATAGTCGGGAACGGATACGCAACCTCATCCTTCTCCAACAGCTTTATCCTGCTTTTCTTGCTGTCTTGTTCTCTTGCCTTCCTACACCTCTCCCCGAGAGATGGATCATCCGACCTTTCTTGACATGTCTCTTTACTGTTGCCACTGTGGTTACTATCCTACTTGACAGTCGTCCGGGAACTCGTCTCTGGCAAGCATTATTTTTTTTATTTCCCTTTCTCGTTTCCCATCTTATCTTTTTATACACACTCTCTCTTCTGGTTAACACCCGTTTACTGTCGCATCGTGACCGTAAGAGCTGTGTGCTTGTCGTTTTCTCCTCACCTCGACCCTGACCTACCGTGACTCTTCACTCGCCACTCTTGCGGCGACCAGCCTCTTTGGGATACTCACACGAAATGGCCGTTTGCTTTCAACGTATCTCGCATTTCCAGTCCCCGACGTGATATCGTGACCATCCCTGCACACTCCCTGCTGGGCCAGATCATCCAACCTGACCTCTCCGCGATTCCCTACCTCCACCCAATCAGTTCGAGTTTCTATACCGTTTTCCTCCCGTAGCCCGGGGCTAAAAGGGAGAAGGAGCATTATTCCTTTCCTTTCCTTTCCTTTCTTTTTTTTTTTTTCGACAAGGAAAGAGGGGGATCTGACAAAAGTTCTATTCGTCACACACGGACCTCGCGGACATCACATGGATCAAAAACCCCTTCGAAGCAGAGAGTAACGAGGAGGCTGAAAGATGACCTCCCGAGCCAACGACAGGCACCTTCCGGTACTTGCACCTGGCCCGCGAGGTCTTGTAAAACCTAATCTACCAACGCGTCTCGCTCCGGGGCCACGGAAAATCTCGGCGGCCTGTTTACCGTGCAAGCAGGCTAAAAGAAAAGTGAGTTATCGATCTACCGGAGGAGTTCCTAGCAGGCAACCTCCATCTCAAGCAACTGATAAAGGGACGGAGGGCAAAATGATCACAAAAGGTCCCTCCGAAAATCAATTGAGAGACCAGGAGTATGTGGCTAACTTCTGTCCGTTTCGCAGTGCAGTGGACGTCCGGCCCCGTGTAAAGCATGTCGAAGTACAGATGCAGAGGCTGATTGTGTTTTCAATCTGACCCTTGACCTTCGCCGCAAAGTTTCCCAGAGACGCACAATCAATGAACGGGACTATTACCGCAATGTACTATCTTCTCTGCTGGACGAAATTCGCTCGTCGGAGCCAGTCAGGATCAACGAACTGGTCAACTTCATACGCAGCGATGCCTCGATGGGCCGGATCGCCACCGTCCTTGCAGATACAACAATCAGCCTCGATGGTTTCAGTTCGATAAGCCTAGACAACAATCCGAGCGTGGAGAGTGCTCTTCAGAGTTTACTCCCACCGCCAGATCCATGCTCGACAAATGCATGCTTTCGAATGACCCTCGAGAGTCTTGTTGACATACCCTTGTTCCAAGTCCCCGCGAAACCTTGGACCAATGTCACTGATGATGACAACCTTGTCTCCCATCTGGTCTCTCTATACTTTACATGGGACCATCCGTGCTGGCAGTTGATGGATCAGAATGTCTTTCTGCTGCATATGAAGACGGGCAATCTGGGGTCACAATACTGCACACCATTCCTGGTGAACAGTATTTTGGCTATGGCCAGTGTATGTTGTGAGTGCCGTTCCGCCATGCTTTGATACTGACAATTGGCAGGTATACTCTGACGCCCCAGACGTTTTTACCATTCCTGGGGATACGGACTCCTGCGGGTCGCACTTCTATATGGAAGCTGAAAGGCATTGGAGGGCTGAAGAGGGAACTGTGGGCTTGGCCAACATCCAGGGCTTGGCTATCATGTGTCGTGTGTAAGTAGCCAAGCAGCCCCTATCTCTTAAAAGTCGTAGCTGACTTCATGATAGGTTGAAATGCCAGGGAAAGGACGGAGTTAGTTGGCTGATGCTGAAACAAGCTGTACAGCTTGCACAAGATTTTGATATGTTTCGAGCCCCAACATTGCGTGTAAGTTGGGGGGAAATGGACGCAGACATGCAGCGTATTCATGCAACCACTGCCTGGGGGATCTTCGTCCTGAATTTGTATGGAGCCTTCCGCAAATCCGCGCGAACAGCCACTCATTCTCATTAGGGACATGTCTATGGAACTGCACAAAGACGCGAATCTCGAGGCCCCGGTCTGCCGGCCTTATACGTCTGATGACCTGAATGACAATATCGCGTGGACCCCTTATCCTCGCTCGAACCAAGTCGAATACGCGGAGAAGCCAGGACTTCTCCGTTATGTTGCGACAGAACTCGCCAATCTGACGGAAATCACTGCGGGTATCCAGCAACTGTTCTTTATGGATGCTTGCCACATGGAGATCAATGACCTCTGGAGAAAGACTAACCGAATATACTCGCGTCTCCAGCTATGGCATGAAAACATGCCAGACGTTTTGGAGATTGACGATCGCCCTGTCCCGCAAGTACTGTTTCTTCAGTAAGGGCTTTTATATCCCCAACCACCCACGAAGTTCGTAGCGACATGCTAACATGTATAGTCTCAAATACCACCAGGAGATATTAATATTGTTCAATGCCTTTGTGGGTTATAAGGGCCTAGGCGGCCCGTCACATCTAGCCTGGTTCGAACAAAGCAGACTAGCCAGCCTTCAATCGGCCAAGGATATCTCCCAATGCTTCAGCATCCTGCGGCTATCCTATGGGTATAAGCGGATGCCCAGCCACATGCTCGAGGCGGCGGCCACTAGTCTTCTTGTAGTGATGAGCGACTTGACGAACGAGGAATCCAGGAACGCGTTTTTTGAGCTTTGTCGGATCGTATTAGTGTTCAGCAAGCGATTGAAACAGGCCAAACGCGTGATCCCGAGTATTCTCTCGATTGCACAGCAGTCGGGAATCATCTTACCACCGGAAGCAGTGTTGATTTTTGAATCGGGAATATGACTCCTGACACGCTCGTGAAATTCGATTGTTGCCTCCCCCACCACACGGCATCTTCCAGGAAACACTCTTAGCTCTAGCAAATATGACAGTTCCCCCAAGATGGGCGAATGGACGGGGGGGGGGAGGCACGTCGACGAATTGATACTGTTTGGATCGCTGGAGAAATGAGCATCATCGACTGGACGGTTTACCTGTTGAGAGTCTTTCAGAAGACTTCTCGAATAACATGTTGATATGCTTGGGTATGTCGCCAGCTAACACTTATCCGTACGTGACCAGGAACTTAAACGAGTTTTGTATTAGGTTTTAAGGCCACAAGAGCCTTCTCTTCTCTGGCTTACTGCCAGGCCATCACAATGACCTAATGTCATGTCACATTGCCACATCTTGAGGGGCAGTGATGGAAAGAAACGTTGAATGGCATTCCGCTGTCTTGGACTTAACGGTGTTCAGTGCACGAACCAGACTTGCCAACCTTTCCTCCTTTTTCGAATGTAGCCAGCGCCTTCATTCGGCTGGAAATCATTTCCGGGAAGCGCCACAGATCGGGGCAAGTCACTGCCGCATTAACCATGGTGCTTTCACAGAGTACAGGAGTATAGACGCATGAATATTGATGGACGCATCTGGTACCTTCTCGGTTGCAATTGAATTCGCTGGACAGTCCCCTGCTCGGTTTGTATGAGCGATGAGCGATTATCTATGCGGTATCAGAACGCATTAGACAAGATAAGACAGATACGGCTACGATTCCCGGGTGCATTACTGCGTTTACCGTGTTTCTTGAATTTAATTCTACAAGGTTCTGATGTGATGCCAGTCTGTTGGCAATCGATTCTGTAGTCAACGTAATCCATCCCCGAGTCGGCCACGCCCCCGAACCGGCCACTTGTGTGTATTGCATATACAATGACATATTTTAGAACCTTAATAATCTCAACTAACATTATAGGTGTACTGTTAGAGCTCATATATCCTTACATGTACATACTATAGGAATGCCTTCATATTTTGCTTAGAACTTTTAGAAATTTTATAGCTCGTGATATAGTATTATATCTAATATAACTGTATTTCAAGACCTTCCTATGTAACCTAAAGAAGCAGGCATAATAAAAGATTCTGAATCTGGCGCCTGCATATTTACCATAATATATCTGTTTGCTTTAGCTTTCAGGCCCTGTCAATATGTTATTGCTGAGATACTGAGGTTCTAAATATGCCATTTTATATGCAATACACAAGTGGCCGGTTCGGGGGCGTGGCCGACTCGGGGGGGTGGATTACGTTATATTAGTTTAATTGTATAGCTGACTCATCCAATCCTTATGCACAGATAAGATAGCACAATCTGCCCAAGCGAAAACCCTCAAAATTCGAACTCCGCCGGCACCATCGAAATCCCACCGACGCCGAAGACCCCCTCCACCGTCCACCTCACGTCGATCCACGAACGAAAACGAGGAACGTCCTCTCGAAGAACCGAATCCCTCACCACCTATCCCTTTTATCCCCTCTAAGCCAACATGTCCTACGAGGAGCGCGCCAACGCGCACCCCAACCTGGGCGATGAGTCCGACGTTGAGGAGGAAGCGCTCGTCAACGACTACCGCGAGCAGGTCAATTTCGACGATGAAATGAGTGATTTGGACCGCACGACATCGATTGACGCTGCCTCGCAGGCGCCGGACCTTCAGGCGCAGTTGGCCGCCGCAGCGACCCCGCTGGAATACCAGGCTACGCTGGAGACCAAGTTTGCGAGCTATGACAACTATTGCAATTTGTTCCATTACATCTTGAACTCGGATGGGCCGGTTGATTTGGAGGTTCCTTCTGTATGTAATCTTGTGTTGTTGTTTTTGTCTTTGGAGATGTTTTTCCGTTCCGGGCTTTGTTGTGTTGTGGGAGTTGAGGAATCAGGCTAATATGTTTGTTTGGTGATAGTACTACTGGGCTTGGGATGTTATCGACGAATTCATCTACCAGTTCGAGTCGTTCTGCCGCTACCGCAACCGTGTCGCCCGCAGCGGTTCCAACGAAGAGGAAGCACAGCTCCTGCGGGAGAACCCCAACACATGGGGCTGCTACTCGGTTCTCAACGTCCTGTACTCCCTTATCCAGCGTTCGCAGATCAATGAGCAATTGGCCGCTATGAAGCGGGGCGAAGACCCCATGACAGTCGCCGGCGAGTACGGTTCCCGCCCGCTGTACAAGATGCTCGGATATTTCTCGATCATCGGACTGCTCCGTGTCCATTGCTTGCTGGGTGACTTCAGCCTTGCCCTCAAGACCCTCGACGATATCGAGATGAATAAGAAGGCCATGTTTGCCCGCGTCATGGCCGCCCACTTCACGACCTACTACTACGTGGGCTTCTCGTACATGATGATGCGCCGGTACGGCGACGCCATCCGCATGTTCAGCCACATCCTGATCTATGTCTCGCGCACCAAGAACTTCCAAAAGGGCGGCAACAGCTACGACGCCATCGCCAAGAAGAACGACCAAATGTACGCCCTCATCGCCATCTGCGTCGCCTTGCACCCCACCCGTCTCGATGACACCATCCACTCCGCCCTCCGCGAGAAGTACGGCGACCAGCTCACCCGTCTCCAGCACGGCGGCCCCGAGGCCCTCCCCCTGTTTGAGGAACTCTTCCGCTCCGCCTGCCCCAAGTTCATCAGCCCCACCCCGCCGGACTTTGACAACCCGGCCGTCAACGTCGATCCCGTCGACCACCAGACCTCCATCTTCATGGACGAGGTCAAGAACACCCTGTTCAACCCCACCATCCGCTCGTACCTCAAGCTGTACACCACCATGGACCTCAAGAAGCTTGCCGGTTTCCTCGAAGTCGAGCCTGAGAAGCTCCGCTCATGGTTGCTGGTCAACAAGCAGCGCAGCCGCCAGATCCGCTGGGTCGAGGGCGGTCTGCTCGAGGGTGAAGTCGTCAGCGCAAATGATCTCGACTACGCCCTGGAGAACGACCTCATCCACGTCAGCGAGACCAAAGCCGGCCGCCGTCTGGTGGACTGGTACTTGCGGAACCTTGCCCGTGTCTACTAAACCGGGTCACGTCTCCTCTTTCGCTTCTATTAATTCTTCTTTTGTTGGAAAAGTTTCTTTTCGCCGGAATCGGATGAGATATGCATAACGTTTCTTGCTTCATATGAATATGGGTATGGAGTTCAGACAACCATGGAGAGGATGTGGTGGCCCATGGAGGTTCGACCGGAGTGATGGATCAGGATATACCAGGGGCGACATGGGAGAAGCTTGGGGGATGTCAGTGAAGAGTGGAGAAAAGAGATGAAGAGTTGGGATTGATTTGATTGAATTTAATTATGTTTTTTTGACAATACTTTTTCTTTTTTTTATGTTGCATGATGTCCCATTTTCTGTTTTTGAATCTCCTCTTCTATCTTTTCAATATATCGTTGCTTTCTTGTTACATAGCTTGAGCTTAGGGCTGGTTATCTGTCTAGACTAGCTAGAAAAGAAACGTTCAATACCCTGACCTGTTATGTAGAATGGGGTATATAAAGATTTCTATCCTACGGAGTACACTAAACTAATATAAATACAACCAACTGCCTTCAATAGACCACCACAATCAAAGACTAACATCAAAACTCGTCCCACACCCACAATTACTCGACGCTCGCGGGTTATCCACAATCTTAAACTGACTCCCAATCAACTCCGTTGTATAATCCACTGTACTCCCCGACAACAGTTCCAGCGATGGTTCATCCATAACAACCAGTGCGTTGCCGCCTTCGGGGCCAGATCTAGCGTCGGCTTCAAAAACGGTGTCTTCTTCGGCGTCGATCTTGGAGTGGGCTTCGAGCGACATCATATATTGGAAGCCATGGCAACCGCCGGAGGTTACGGTGATGCGGAGGTGGTGGTAGGGGTTTTCGGCTTTTGTGGGGGTGGGGGAGGTTGTTGGGTCTGTTATTTCACGGAGGCGCTGTTTATTATCATGTTAACTTCGTTCTGCTTGAGGTTGTGGTGAAATGAAAGCGATGCTTGTCTTTGGCTGGCGCGTGGTTTGGTAATGGCTGAGCGTGGGGTCATGTTTCACACCTGTCTGTGGTTGTAGTAGGGTTGGGTTATACCAGACAATATAGTCTTTTCTCTGTTCTTCGAAAGATGTTCTGCTTCTGTCCGGTATACCACCACACTTCGCCACAGTACCACATTCCCGGACAGCCATACCCCTCCACCCGCTTCCATGGTATGTAGACAATGGTATTCCGGGAAGTAAAGAGTAACGTACCTCCGCAGCCCTCTCCGAGATTCCAACCATCAACGGTTTCCCCTCCTCATCATTCCTCGCATTCTGCACGACCTTGGCAGACGGACGAACTGTCGACGATGAAAATGCACGGTTTCGCGGCACACGGAAGGAAGAGATGTTCACTTTGCGAAGAGTATACTGGCTTGGACGAGCCGATACATGTAGGGAACTGGCATTGGAAGTGTAATTTGACGAACTTCGGATAATGGGTTCGGATAATGCGGAGGAGAACCGGGTAGTTGAGAATACGCGCTGGCAGTGCGTCGTTGATTGTTGTAGGCGGCGTGTGGCCGACGAAAGGACTGGACGGGACATATTTGCGGTTTCCAGGCTAGTGTGTTATTGTAGGTGTAATTGTGTTGGTGAAATTGCCGTGATTATATATCGGCGATTTGGATATTTCCGTTAGTCAGAGGGTTCGGCATGACGTTATTGGTCGATTCGCCGCCACATCTTTAAGAGGGGCAGCTTATCGCTTTAGAGCAATTTATCGACTGGTATTTGACAGGAATACCAGGGAAATGACTGTGCAAGTACACCAGGTCGGGGTTTACTCCAGACAAGAGGCTGAGGCCCGCGATGCGCAGGATCCTCTACGTTCATTCCGTGAAGAGTTCATCATTCCATCGCGGAATGACCTTCAGCGAAAGACGCTGGCTGTCGAGGGTACGCCAATTCACATCCAGTTTATTATACTAGTCTAACTTCAGCAGATCAAGACACCTCAGAACCAAGCATCTACCTCTGCGGCAACTCTTTAGGCCTCCAACCCCGCAGCACCCAAAAGTACATCGAATACTACCTCCGAACATGGGCAACCAAAGGCGTAACCGGACATTTCACCCCCCACGAGGACCAATTCCTCCCTCCATTTGTCGATGTCGATGAGGCTGGATCGAGGCTTATGGCGCCTGTTGTTGGTGCGTTGCAGAGTGAGGTTGCTGTTATGGGTTCGTTGACGGCGAATATCCATGTGTTGCTGGGGAGCTTTTATCGGCCGACGGAGGGGAGGTTTAAGATTATTATGGAGGGGAAGGCGTTTCCGAGTGATCATGTGCGAGCCCTTATGTCTGGGGTAAGGATGAATTGCTAACAGGATGAAGTAGTATGCCGTCGAGTCTCAGATTCAGCTTCACGGTTTCAATCCGGATGACGCCATGGTATTGATCGAGCCGGAGAACCACGAGTTCCCGACTCTGAGCACCGAGCAGATCCTGCGAGTCATTGATGAACACGCCTCGAGCACTGCCTTACTCTTCCTCTCCGCAATCCAATTCTATACCGGGCAGTATTTCAAGATTGAGAAGATTACGGCCTATGCTCGTTCGAAAGGTATATTGGTTGGCTGGGATTGCGCTCATGCAGCTGGTAATGTCGACTTGCGATTGCACGATTGGGGCGTCGACTTTGCGACATGGTGCAACTACAAATATCTGAACAGTGGACCGGGAGGGATGGCTGCTATCTTTGTTCATGAAAAACATGGACAGGTGGATGCTGAGAAGGGATTCCGGCAAAGGCTTGCTGGATGGTGGGGAGATGATAAGGGCAGACGGTTTCTCATGGAGAATAGTATGGAACCTCAACACATTTTCCGACTTGCAGATTCTAACTCATATTCCAGAATTCGTGCCGCAATCAGGTGCAGCTGGCTACCAGCTGTCCAACCCATCCGTCCTTGACATGAATGCAGTTGTCGCATCCTTGGAGCTCTTCAACCGAACCACAATGGCCGATATCCGTAAAAGATCATTGGCGCTGACTGGATACTTGGAACATCTACTACTGACCTACCCCGTCGACTCGTCTGAGAGGCCTTTTACCATTATCACACCGTCGAATCCAGCAGAACGTGGTGCTCAGCTGAGTCTACGTTTAGAGCCAGGTCTCCTCGACAGCGTTCTGGAGTCGTTAGAGGAACATGCCATCGTGGTTGATGAGAGGAAGCCTGATGTCATCCGTGTTGCACCGGCTCCTCTGTACAATACGTATGTGGACGTTTGGGAGTTTTGCCAAGTCTTTTTGAATGCGTGTGTGAAGGCCAAGGCATAGAACTGTCTCTGCTAAACCTTATCCATTCCGTCATGAACCTTGCTACGTGCAACATCTTGCGCAACACATGGTATATAATATTCACACTATCTAGCCAAACGCAAAATAGGCCCGTTCCAGCGGTTGCCGTTCCGACTCCCAAGCCAACCAATCCGACCTCGTAGTCCTGTCCACCGTCAGTAGCACATCCACAAAGAACAAGAGCAAGGACTACATACGGCAAAAGTCCCATAGCATTAACCTTCCACACACCCAACGCCAACAACCCAAACTGCATCAACACATAAACCGCTTTCACACCCAGCAACTTCTTATGCGTCCCCTTCGTGTCGAACTTGGCAAACACCGCATTTGTATTAATCAAACCCTGGATAGGACCCTTAAACAACATAAACACCATCATAATACTGAAGATTTGTAGACTGTTTCCGGACATGTACATCATGATCGCGTTCATAGGGAGTTGCTTTGACGGGGCCATGGCGATTTCCCAGGCTTTCTTGACCTTGAGAGCGTCGGTTTCGATGGGTTTAGAGGGGGTGGCCTGGTGTTGCTGTTGTTGCTGTTTTTGAGTTTGCTAAAACATCGTCAATTAGTATCCTGCTTGCTATAGCCTATCTCAGCAAGAAACGTACAGGCTTAGCTCTGGAAAACCCAGGTGGATCGGGGATGTTGGCCGCCGCCTTGGACGGTCGAGATAAAGGGGTATTCAGCGAGACCACCCATCGCGGAGGAGGAGGAGGATCAAATCCAGGCTGCGCAGCTTTTTCTGCCATTGCGATAATTGTCGATAGAACGTGATGGTAAAGCTTGGTGGTGGTGGTGGTGGTGGTGGTGGTGCAGAATAAGGTGGTGGTCTGGAAGCGGCCCCGACCCAAGCGCGCGGAGTTGGCGGCAAGCCGATCCCATCCGCTCCTTTTTGGGTTTCGACCCAGACTACTGTACTTGTACCTCCATACTACGCTTCTTTTCTCTCCTTAACGTCTTCGCTTGGACTACATAATACGGCTAATTGGTTTATCGTTCTTTATTCCTTTTGTGACGCTCACTCATTACCATTCAATCCGGAGTGGCGTCGTTCTCCGTGACCTTCGACTGAAACCCCCGAGCGGGAATGGAAGATTCATAACGGCAGCGTAACTGAAGACAGATCGCGAAAGACCACCGATTCGCATCCATCCCCCCTCTCCTTGAATTTTCTCGGGCATTCGCATATCCACAGAGACAAACGATCTGCGCTTGCGATCTGTACAACGATTGAACCCCCGCCGCCTCGAAGTGACAAAAGAGCAGTGATTTACCGTTTCGCAAATTCACAATGAGTTCCGGGGGAGATGCAAAGTTATTCGCGAGGGTACGTTAGAATACTCCCCTTATCATTTGTCGCATGGCTGCATAGTTCGGATTGGGCGGGGTTGGTTGGGGATTGGAGATCGAGGATCTGGCGAGGGGACGATAGGATATTTATATGAGCATTCTTCATCCCTCGTGTGATCTGGCTGGTGACACGGATGATATCTGGTGTATTGTCTGTGATTCTTATATCACTTTTAAGGCGATGTGTCGTTACTGGTCTCGTTTCTGGTCGCAAGCAATCCCCTTTCCAAATTATACCTATGTTGGCCGGATTAGCACCCGGATTGGCATCTCTTACGAACAATCATGACTCACTACGTGTTTTTCTCTCACAGGGAAAAGTCGCAGAGCTGCGCCAGGAGCTCAGCAGCGGCGGCAAGAAAGACAAAAACTACTCGGCCAAGAAGATCGCCCTCAAGAAGATCGTGGCCAACATGACCATGAGCAATAACGATATGATCGCATTGTTTCCGGATGTCATTGGGTGTATGAATTTGCCCAGTTTGGAGATCAAGAAAATGTATGCTTTGCAATGCTGTTTATCGGAGCAATGACTGATCTGTGCAGGTGCTTTTTGTTCTTGGTTAACTACTCGAGGATGAAGCCTGATGTGGCGATGAAGGCTTTGCCAATTCTGGTTGATGTACGTTGACATCCCCCGCTTGGAAGTGAAATGCTAATGGTTGCAGGACATGGAAGATTCTAACCCCTTGGTTCGCGCTCTGGCGCTGCGCACCATTTCGTACGTCCATGTCCGGGAGTTTGTCGAGGCAACTATTCAACCAGCCAAGCGCCTGATGAGTGATATGGATCCCTACGTCCGCAAGACTGCTGCCTTTTGCGTCGCTAAACTTTATGAGCATGATAGGAAAATGGTGGAAAGCTCAGATTTGATTGATCGGTTGAATCGAATGCTCAAGGACGAGAACCCCACAGTTGTGTCTAGCGTTCTCGCCTCGCTGACGGACATTTGGGGACGAAGTGAAACCATCTCTTTGACAATTGACTACAACAGTGCATCGAAATTGGTGTCTATTCTTCCTGACTGCTCTGAGTGGGGTCAGTCATACATCCTCGAAGCCCTCATGTCGTACGTACCACAGGATTCGGCGGAATCATTGCTGCTTGCTGAACGAATTGCACCGCGACTCTCCCACTCGAACTCCGCAGTGGTTCTTACCTCTATTCGTGTTATTCTGTACCTCATCAACTACATCGCGGACGAAAGACACGTTAACTCGCTGTGCAAGAAATTGTCGCCGCCTCTCGTTACATTGCTTTCAAAGCCGCCGGAGGTGCAGTACTTGGCTCTTCGAAATGCCATCCTCATCCTGCAGAAGAGACCCGAAGTCCTCCGGAATGATATCCGGGTATTCTTCTGCAACTACAACGACCCGATTTACGTCAAAGTGACCAAGCTAGAATTGATCTTCATGCTGACCACCCAGGAGAACATATCTGTAGTGCTGGCAGAGTTGCGGGAGTACGCAACGGAGATTGATGTGCACTTTGTACGAAAGGCTGTTCGGGCCATCGGGAAACTGGCCATCAAGATCGAGTCTGCGGCACGGGAATGTATCGACACACTGTTGGAGTTGGTCAACGCCAAGATTCCGTATATCGTGCAGGAAGCAACCGTGGTAATTCGGAACATTTTCCGCAAATACCCCAATCAATACGAGAACATTATAGGCAATGTTATCCAGAACATTGATGATCTGGATGAGCCTGAAGCAAAGGCGGCTATCATTTGGATCATCGGACAGTATGCGGATCGAATTGAGAACTCGGACGGACTCCTTCAAGACTACCTGGCAACATTCCACGACGAAACAGTTGAAGTGCAATTAGCCCTACTCACAGCAACCGTCAAGTTCTTCATCCAGCGCCCAACCAAGGGCCAAGAACTCGTCCCTCAAATTCTGAAATGGTGCACAGAAGAAATCGACGACCCCGACCTCCGAGACCGCGGCTACATGTACTGGCGTCTTCTGTCAACAGACCCTGCCACAGCACGCAACATAGTAATGGGCCAAAAACCACCCATCAGCGCAGAAAGCGAAAAACTCGACAGCCGCACTCTCGAAGAACTCTGCCTTAACATCGGCACCCTCGCCACCGTCTACCTCAAACCCATCCAGCAAGTCTTCCGCAGCGCCCGCAGCCGCCGTCTCCAATACAGCCCGGCACTCCAAAAGCCCCGCGACCAAAACGGCAACAGCAACCCCATGCTGCAGTTCAACCCAACCCCCACCACCACCACCCCGCTTGCCTCCAACCCAACCGGCACCGCCAATATCACAACCACCGCCCCAACCCATCTAAGCACCTCCTTCCCTAACCCCACGGACCCATCCGTCATCGCACCCTCCCCAGTCACCGGCCTCGGCCCCGATGCAGCAGACATGAATGCCGCGGTCAGCGCAGCAGACGTCTACTTTAACGGCGTCGGCAGCCAGCAAATGGCAGCCATGGATCTGGGTGGGCGCAGCGGCGACGACGGCGACGGCGCTGCAGGTGGCGGCGGCGCATTGGGATCACAGTATGTGGTGAATCAAAACCAGCAGTCTGTTTATCAGCCGCAATTGGCGGGTGGTGCGGCGACGGGGGAGTTGTTGTTGCTGTAGCTGCCCTGGCCTGCCTTGCATTTGCATGGATTTGTCTCTTCGATTTGTGCTGTTGACAAGTATGTGTTTTGTAATGTGTTGTATTTGGTGCAGATCGTTTTGTTGTTTGTTTGTTGTGATACCTCGACGTACTAGTATACTATACTTTTAAATAATACAATTTATTCTGGAGTCGCTAACTCTTCTATGCTGCATTACGAGGGGGTTGTATCATTTGCTGAGATTTGCTTGCGATATATATCCCGAACACACACCCCCCGCATCACCTTAGAGCGACTACTGGCATGGATCTATTCAACCACTGCTGTCATAATATCAAAGTAGAGTAATCCAATAATTTTCAACAGTCTTTAGTCAAAGAATTCAAGCACCCAAAGCTTTATAACGGGAAAAAAAAAAAAAAAAAAAAAAAAAAAAAAAAAAAAATCATTTCAACACATTCGATATTTACAATCTTCAAGCCATAAACCCATAATATCGTCCCATCTTTATAAACAGATACGATATGTACACCCAATTACTCTGTATGTGCACTACTGCCCATCCTCATTCTCAATAACATACCCCCACTCATGCTCCTCCTTGCCAAACATAATAGCCCCAAGCCACGACTTGACCTGCGCGGCGTATCCAGCGCGCTCGACACCGGCTTCGAGCATGTTCATGTCGACGTCGCCGTTGCGGATGATTTGCACGGGGGCAATGAAGTACTGTTCTGTCAGCAACAAAGCGATAAGGGTGATGGGGTGGGGGGCTTACGGCAGTCCCAGACACGAAGGCTTCGATGATTCTACCCTCCTTCCAGGCTTCTTCGACCTCGCCGATGGTAAACGGTCTCTCGACAACATCAACAGGAGGCAACCCCGTCGCCGAAGGCGAAGCCAACCGCTCCCTCGCAAGCTCAAGCACACTCCGTCTTGTAACACCCGGCAAAATCACCTGACTCTCCAACGAAGCCGTAACCAACTCCCTCTTTCCATCTTTACCCTCCCACACAATGAAGAAATTACTAGCCCCCGCCTCCGTAACCTGCCTCTCCCCCCCAAACAGCCAAAGCACCTGATCAAATCCCTGCCCCGTCGCGACGCCATGCGCCGCAAGACTAGGCCCGTAATTTGCGCCGAGTTTCGCGTAGCCGAAACCACCTGGCCAGGCGCGGATGGTGTCCGGTGTGGAGGCGAGGAGCTTCAGGCCGGACGGCTTGGAGGACATGTCGGGCCAGGGGACGGCGATGATGAAGAGGAGGGCTTCTTTGGGGGCTTGGACGCCGAGCTGCGTGCCGTTGCCGATGACCGTGGGGCGGATGTAGAGGTAGCGACCGGGTTGGTCTTTGGGAAGCCAGCCTACAATTTGTCAGTACTCTGTACCTAGCCAAAGAAAGTCAGGAGGGGGCGACTCACGCGGCCCATCAATCTGCAACAACCTCCCCACCAGCTTCTTCACCTCCCCCGGCGCAAACCCCGGCAACGAAGTCCTAACCGCACTATTCGCAAGTCTCTCCCCATTACAATCGGGCCTGAAGAGACGCAACTTCCCATCGTACCCACGGTACGCCTTCATGCCCTCGAAGCACTCGGTGGCATAGTGCAGACACGACGCTGTCGGCGGGATACTCAGATTCTCGAAGGGGCGGACTTCAGGTGTTTGCCAACCGGATTCGACGGTCCAGCGGACTGTCACCATGTGGTCGGTGCAGTAGGAGTGGGATTTTTCCTCTGGGGAGCCGATTGCTGGGACGGGCCGGAGGGAAGTGCTAGGGGTGAAGTTGATGGTGGAGGCGTCGAGATCGGGGGTGATGGAGCCCATGTTGGCGGTTGTGGTGTCAATTGGACAGGCTGATTCCAGGCAATTGCTTTGAACAAAGTGAAATGAGAGAAAGAAAAGAGAGAGAGGATAGTGACTCAATTTATGGTTCGGTCCGGGGTTGCCGTTTTGGTGAAATTGCCGGATATCTTATCGATAACAGAAATTTTCGATACGACTACTAGTACTTTGATATTGCTCTGTTTCAATGTTTCTTTACAGCATGCTCTATTATTCCAATTGAATTATATCACTCTACACGCCTATTGATCCAGTTGCCGTGGTATCGTATTGTACTGTCTGATTTTTCTTTCTCTTTCCCTTTCCCGCGTCTTCGAAACTCCGATGCTAACCGCAGTGGGTATCACGCCCTACTCCATACTCCGTGTACACCCTACGCTACGCCCTATGCCTTGACTGGGATCGGCTGTAGACCGTTGGATGTAGGGTTACACTTACCGTTATCAGGCATTGGTTGCTTAGACCTATCTATAGAGGCAATGACGACTAGACACTGATCAATATAATCCTTTTGTTTCACACTCGCATGTACAAATGGTAGGCCCCGACCAGTCGGCACCAACCTCTTCCGAGAAAAAAGGACCCGAAATCTATATACAATGGATAAGATTATGTAAACAGGATAGAAAGAAATGCCAAACCAATCCATCACCCAAGACAAGACAAGACCTAGACTCCGGAGATGCAATCACATTGAATCATGATAAACAGAGGAAAGAAAAAAAAAAGGTTGAAGGTGCTAAGGACCCAGTGGTTTTTCCTTAGCACCATTGGCACTAACATTGGTGGTACTCGGATTCAACGTCGACGTCGAACCCGACCCTCCCGACCCTGACACCGCCGTTGAGACTGATGTCGACTCGACAGCACGCTCCTGAACAGGAATTGCCTTATTCTCAGCCAGCGTATCCTCAGACCCAGCCTGCGCCTGCGCCGCCGCATTCCGGGCCTTTGTCTTTGACCGTCTCCAGTAAATCACCGAAACATAAATCAAACCCACAGACGCGCATATGATACCATACGCAATCGGCGACGCAGGAGGTATATTCGGGTTCTTCCCGATAGCGTAGTGGAAACCCACGCCTCCATTGATGATTCCCAGGGCTATGAGAAAGCGTCCGAGATAGCGATGCATAACACCCCAGATCGTTTTGAGTCCGTATTTGCGGAAGCGCAGATGCTGGATTATACCCATGATGGGCATTAGTACTGCAACGCCGAGGACGGCGATGTGCCCCAGAAGCGGATGGTAGTCGTTACCCTCCTGGAGATCGTGCGCGACGGAGAACCCAATGGCGTACCCGGCTAGAGCCAGAGCAACAGCAAAGATCTGCAGGGGCGCGTGGATGGCGGGGACTGTCCAGCGGGAGGGGAGGATATAGAGAGTCAATGCGAAGTTAGGGAAGAGCAGGACGAAAGCGACGGATGTGATGACGCCGTGCGCGATGCGTTTCTTGTGCAGACGCGCGTCGCTGATTTGCTGCTGTGGGGACTTGAAGGTGTGGTCGATGATTGTGTGTGATGAGACGAGGAAGGGGTTTTCTGTTTCTCCCCCGACGCCTTCGGTTAGGTTTAGCGTGAAGATACCGTGCCAGTCGTGTTGAGAGATCGGATGGGTGACGTTCGACGACATGATGGGTTCGCCGTGCGCCATGGCCCAGATCCAATCACTCTGGGGACCGAGGATCGGCCGTCCGTCGAATAAACGCATGCAGTCATTGCACTGGATGTTAGCTGTCATATTGCCATGATGAAACCCCGACCCGTCGAGCAGAAATGCATCAACGGTGGAGTTGTACTTTGGCTCGACATGATCCTTAGCCCGTCGTGTTGAGAGAGTGATATTCCCGCCTAAGCCGGCATACACGATGAATAGATTCCCATCGACCATGCGGGCACCTTGTCCCAGGGCTATCCACTGGATAGGAGGGGGCGCTGTCAATTGAAAGAAGATGGGGCCGGATCCATTGACGGCTGTGCGTTGGGGGATGTTGATGGAGTACGAAATTCCACTGCCTTCGGAGGGAGTGTAGGAGATGATTTGCCCGAGGATGGGTGTAGCTAAAGCAGTTAGCGTTGTATTGGCTTGAAGAGAAAGGAGACGTACCATAGGCCAGCGTAGTGGCCAGAAAGGAGAGTATTTTCATGATCAATGTACAAAGGAGTGATGTGCGTCAAAAACGATGCATAGATCTATACTGTTAGCATGCTAGACATAGCTAATAGCGAGTCCATAGAGACCCAGACATACCGGCTATACAGTGGCAAATCGACATGCCCTACGCCAGAGCACCGCGATCTGCATGACAAGAAGATAAAACAGCGATAAGAAAAGATCTAGAAAACTAGAAGACCCAAATGAAAGACATGAGATCAGCGCGATGGCAGCAATGACAACAGCAGCAGCGGTGGTGGGCGTATAATAAATGCAATGGCAGCCCGTAAAAGGAGCTGGTCAGTGCAGTCCCCAAACAGAAATGAGCCCGAATCCGCAAACTTTTTTCTTGGTGAATCTCTTGTCCTGGCTTGGCCGGACGTGTTGCCACTTCTGTACGAGAGCGATATTATAACTTGCCTATGTTTGCTGTACCTTTTCTTTGCTCACACTCTATCCAAGCGCTGTACAGTACATAGAGAATGTCATTGCATTGTTTAGTCTACCGAGTGTGTACTCTATATTGTCTGTAGCAGCACGGAGTATCCCCCTATCGATCGGAGCATATGAGTCAGCGGAACTATTTCGCCAATAGCATAACCTTACTGGACCGTTGTGCCGAGAGTATACGCGATACGGAGAAGCCGGAAAGCGGATGTGAGACGAGACACTCGCCAAATAACTTCTATTATTATGTTCCCTGCGCCTGTCATTCGTGTATACTGGTGTCCGACGCGTCATGGATGGAGTCGCCAAGGATTATCGAATTGCCGAGACACGTGAGTTCCACTTCATTACTACTGACACTGGCATTACATACAAGTACATACATCGCTATGCATGCATTGAGTATCACATTAATAGTAGCACTACGTAGTACGGTTACTTTGTCTTCTCCAATATAGTCTTCATCATCTCGTTGCCCAGCCTCGATGCCTCGGGGAATCTTGGCGCAAAGTACTGCTGGATCCGCTCGAATCGGTCCCGGTACGATTCGAAATCGCCAAATGAAACGCAGTCGGACCATGCCTGTCAATTCAATATCAGTCTGCGTTGAGACAATTGAGTTAGTGAAGGAACGCACCCGCGCAGCAAACGTAAACTCCAGATCATCCGAACGGAACGTGCTATCATCACACGCTGTATCCAGCGCTTCATCAAGCAATTCCGGATTGCGAAAGAGATACTCCGTCACGCCCAGCCAGAGACGGAATAACTGTAACACATCAGTAATCCCGTATACTCCGTACCTACACCTGAGGGTAAAAGACATACCGGCGTCGAACAAATCATATGATCATACGGCACAATCCCCAACTTCCACCAACAATCCACAATCGCCAACAAACTCAGATGATTATTCGGCGGACTCTCCTCGCGGTGCCGATTCGACAGCGAAAACCGATCCAGCACCTCATCTTTCAACAGTAAATCTTGCCCCTTCGTCCCAGCCTGGAACACATATTCCCCAGCCGCTTTCACCCGCCTCTTCAGCTCGTCCCGTTGTCCCTCGATCATAAGCTTGTACAACTCCGTCACGGACTCGGCGTACTGCCGGATCTGCGCTTTGGCGGCTGGGTTGAGGATCGCGAGACCCGCGTAGACGTGCCATTTGTTCGAGTAGATGCGTAGCGTGATGTTGATCTTGACGTTTTCAATGCCGCCGACCCAGCGTGACATATCCCATGGGAATTGGTTGTTGGCTTGCCAAGCTGTGCCCATGCTTAGGAAGGCAGCATGGGTGACGGCTTGGGTGTCGGCGGTGATGCGGTCGTGCATTTCGCCCGAAAGGTAGACATACTTCGAGCCGAAGCAGGAGAGAGCGCTTTCGACAAAGTGCAGGCTTTCGTCGGAGGCGCGGTGCTGGATGAGGACCTATTGTTGCATTAATCGTAGATTAGGATTCGCCTTCCGGGGCGAGACGTACCAATGGCTGACCATTAGGATTTACTTTTGGCCCGTGCAGCGAATGGCACGATACAATCTCTACATCATGGGGCAAGTGTTTGTCAAACGCGGCTAGCTCCGGGGCCTTGCACGACGTCTGTCCTCCAACGATGGCACCGACCTTGGTGGCTGTTCAAGTTAGACTATGACCAAGACCAAGATGATACAAGACATACACGGTCCATACTGGGCGACTACCCGGTCGATAACGCCCGCCTCTACACTGTATAGAATGAAATCGCTAATTCTTGAAACCAAGTGTCCATTCGGAAATACTGTGACACCTTTCTATATACATACAATGAGCCTATGAACGGCGTAGCCCGGAGACGAGCACGAGAACGACATACTTGAGTGTCAAATTCTTGTTTCAATTCTTCATATTTTTCTGGTATATCGCATGCGTTAATCCTTTTACTGTTAGTCCGATATTTCCCAGTATTATTATAAAGAGTATCTGCATAATCTGAACCAGACAGTTAGCATCGGTTCGAAGCGCATTCCAATAAGAATAAGCAAGTAAAGAGAACATTATCAGACAAAGAAAAGTAAGGTAGCTGAGATTTTACATCATCGACGACCTGATGAACAGTCATACCAGAAAGGCGGACAAGCCCACCAGGCCATACTCGAGCCAAATGCACTCAAGTCATCACGTAAGAGAACGGGGAATAACAAGGAGAGAGATCCTTACCTAGAACAAGGGAAATGGAGCAGAGAAGAAAGCATTACCTCCATCCCGCTGAACTTAGTCGTTGGGCATACAGCTTGCCCATGTCTCCCATTCCGATGATGCCAATACTGGCATTTTCCTTTGCGAGAACCATTTTCACGTACTGCAGACCGGCTGCAGCAATGCAATCAAATCAAATTGCTTGATATCGACTGAAAACAACACTGGTCGAGAAGAAGCAAGGGAAAGAAAATTTCTTAAATAGACGCCGACAGTCAGCACTCACCGCCCCGGCCCGACTCTAACTTCCGTTCTGCCGGATATACTCCCTCGCTTGAGAATCCCTCCCGCCTTTGCACGACCAATTAGAAGTGGCGAACCCCGTCTAGGGCACACACCCACTTTTCTATCCAACTTTCATTTGAGTCTGTCGTTCTTGTTCCTCTTCTTCTCTTTCCATATTCCATCCCACAACCGACAATCGCAATGGCTCCCAAGAAGACCCCCGGCGCCGGTGCCGCCGCTAAGGAGAATGTCACCCTCGGTCCTCTGGCCGGTGATGGTGCGTTTCGTGTTATCGCATTGTGAGATCCAGCAGCTAACAAAATACAGGCAAGCTCGTTTTCGGTGTTGCCCGTATCTTCGCCTCTTTCAACGACACCTTCGTCCACGTCACCGATCTGAGGTTCGCGCTCCAATGAATATTGGATACGGAATGGCATGCTAACAAAGTAATAGTGGTCGCGAAACCATCTCCCGTGTCACCGGTGGTATGAAGGTCAAGGCTGACCGTGACGAGTCCTCCCCCTACGCCGCCATGTTGGCCGCCCAGGACGTTGCTACCCGCTGCAAGGAGCTCGGTATCAACGCTCTGCACGTCAAGATCCGCGCCACTGGTGGTACCGGCACCAAGACCCCCGGTCCCGGTGCTCAGTCCGCCCTCCGTGCCCTCGCCCGTTCCGGCATGAGAATCGGCCGTATTGAGGACGTCACCCCCATTCCTTCCGACTCTACCCGTCGCAAGGGTGGTCGCCGTGGTCGTCGTCTGTAAGCATGTGCGGGGCTGTCTTCCAACTTGTCCGGTTGGTTATCCCGAGTACGTGTCTTTTGCGGATGTGGATGGAATAAACGCGGAGAACGGCTTTTTCGCCTGGTCTTCAATTCCTTGTCCGAAAATAAAATCTCAGTTAGCGTATCAATGTTATGCTGGGGAATTACTTTGTTCTCTACCCGTAAATTTGTTCGTAGCATGATTTCCTAGAGAAAACTTTTAGGCGGTAACTGATAAGGTGCTTATCATGGTGATCTGCCACTTTTCGTCACTTTTTCAATCTTTATTTTTCATATCGGTCTCGAATTTCACACCATAGTGATAGCTTCGATTTGACTACTCTGATGCGACTGGCTCCAGCTCGTCAACTCCCCATTGACGTCAAGCGGACCTAGATTCTTCCGCGCGACAACCTCACGACTGACGATTCTACAACCGACTCTCTCAACTCGATCAAAAAGAAACAACGAAATGTCCATCCACCCGACCCCCACAATTCTAATCCCCCACCTCCCCCCGAAGACCTTCGTCGGCATCGACCTCGTCACCTTTACCTCTACCGCAAACTTCCACGGTATCCGCGATCTTCCACCAGGCTGGCATTTCTTATACTCGGGCACAACAGAGGCATTATCGCTGCGCAGTGGGGGGTGGTTTTACGTTCAGGACAATGAGGACAATACTCGCAGGACAGTTGCGACAAGGACAGCGACAGGGACGGGGTCAGGGCCGGAGATATTCATCTGGAAATGGGACGTGGACACAGAAACGCTCGTCCCGTTGAAGGGGGATAGCAATGCAGAAAGACAAGAGGCGATGCGCTTCAAGGCGAATCTGGGCATGATCTGGCAGGCGGGAAAGCTGTTTCGGTATCGCAGTCGGGTGACTGCGCAGGGTGTGCAGAAGAATCAGGTGGTTGACGAGGAGGATGAGGAAATTGAAGAAGAGGGGAGGAGGGATTGGAGTGGTTTGACGGATAGGCTGTCACAAGATGTTCTATTGAGAATCGTCGGGGATCCAGAGGTTGATGCTGATGGGCGGCCGAGGTGGATGATTACGTCTGCTAGTACGGCGAGGAGAGATACGGATGATATTCCAGGGCTGGCCAGTGCTGAGCCAGATGGAGCGGGTGTGGACGGGATGGGGAGACAAGAAGTTGAATTCTCGTTCCTCCCAATCGAGCTGCGAAAGACATGGCGAGAGGGCGCAATCGGACGAGAACGAACAGAAGCAGCACAAGACAAATCTTGGGCGCTGGGCGATCTAGTCAAACAATACACCCCCACCGACTCAACAAACCACAGCGAAGGCGAGACCCAAATTCTCGGCGAACTCCAATTCACCTTCCTCACGGCCCTAACCCTCCTCAACTTCTCCTGCCTACAACAATGGAAACGCCTCCTCGAACTAATCCTAACCTGCCGCGCCGCCATCGCAGAACGAGAATCATTCATGCGCGACGTCCTCCGCCTACTCCTCCTCCAACTGCAACGCTGCGACGATCTAGAAGGTGGGTTCTTCGCCATCGACGCAGATGAAGGCGGCGAGTTCTTGCGCGGCTGGTTAGTCAGATTCGTCAGGTCGTTCGAGGAAGTTAGTCATGTCGGCGCTGGGTCTATTGTCAAAGACGAGTTGGATAAACTGGAGGCTTGGGTGAGGAATGAATATGAGTGGGATTTGCACCCTGAGGGTGTTCTTAGACGTGGGTTGTTGCAATTGGAGGATGGGGAGGAGGTGGAGATGGAGATGGCTGATGATGAGGATGAGGAGACGGGGGAGTATGCGCCCACGGTTGTTGAGTTGGGGAGTGGTTTTTAGCCTATATGTTCTATTACATGTACTATATCCCATTGTCCATGATTGAAATGGCTGAAAACGAAAGGCCGTGGTTATACTGTTGCGCAGTTCCGTCTGCAAAGACATACAGTCCTGTTAATGTGGGGCCTGGGTTTTGCAGCTTAATGGCCACAGCCGGATATTGGGCATGCGTATCAATCGGTGAGTGAGATGTTTGAGATGATTCCGCTTTTAAGGAGACTGTTTGTGGCGGGTAAGGATGGGTTTATCTATGAGCCTTATTCTTACTACGCCCAATCCGCATATGAGAGTTCTGGGGTTGGACCAGACCGGTGTTCAGCACTAGCTGATGGACGTACTTATATCATACTCCCCTACAACCAAGACAGCAATGTGAACAACTTGTGTCACTACCATCTTGATTTTCCACGATCCTTTGACGTTGCAGAAAATGTCCTCCCCATTCCCAGAATTCAACAGCCCCATCTTTAATTTGCCCTATGTTAGAAATCATTCCAGCACTATTATAATGGTCCTACAACCGTTGAATCCTTGTAGATGACGACATGAGCATTGTCAAGAGAAATACAGGGCTAGATAGGAATATTGTACGGGACATCCAAGTCCGTTGTAATATGTCTAAACCTGAGGATCGAAGTAAAACAATTACCGCTAAAAAACCTCAATATGTAATCCTCTTGCCTCCTCGAGATATTTCCTCATGTGCGATGATTCAAACCGTTTGAGCGCTATATAACGATAAACGATCTTACTGTCCATAATATCCTCTATCTCATCAGCGTTAGCCTCAAGAAAACACAACGCATCCTCCAAACTGCTCGGCAGAAACGTAGCAGGATCCAACCGCTCAGGGATGCCGGTGTCCGGCCACACCAGGGACTCCTGATTCTGCATCCCCAGGATGCCAACACCAAGAAAAGCCGCGAGTGTGAGATACATGTTAGCCGTCGGGTCGACGCATCGGAAACCCCAATGCCCGGATTTGATTTTGCGGATGGGAACCTCCCAGTTCTGTGTGCCCCAGGAGAAAAATTCGCTGTTGGAGTATGGTTGCTCGCGCTCATAGGAAAGGTCATAAGGTAAGCTGAATGCACAGAGTGCTTGCAGGTGCTTGAGTATACCAGCCAGGAAGGAGGACTCTGCATGTGGAGAGGACATTGAGATATGCATGTGCTGGCCTGTTGGTTTTTGTCGAGCTGGCGTAGGCTTGGGACACATGGTTGCTCTGTAGCCGTGTTTGGCGAAGACTCGCTTGATGCGGTCGTGGACCAGTATTAGTTCGTCAACTGCTTGTAGTGGTGCTTGGGGATGGAGGGAGATTTGGTACTGGCCACGACGGCCTTTGTGTTGGAAACCCTCAATATCGATGCCAGCATATTGCAATTCACGAATACATTCCTCCACATGCGCAAAACAAGGATCTCCCTGATCGGTGATAGCAAACCGTCTCAAACCTGTACTGTGCGGGATAACCTCGTTTCCATATAACGTGACCTTCATAACCTCAAACTCAACCTCAAATCCCACCAGAAAGCTCAAACCATGGACTTCCATAGCTTTACGCATTACTTTTTCCAGCGCCCGCCGTGGACACAGATCGAGCTGAGGAACTAGACTCCCTGGTCTAGTTCGAACCACCTCGCACATCACAGTAGCATATGAATCCCCCGAGATGACGCACTGCGCACTGGTGCGGGCGCTGTCCCAGTATGGAAGAAGCCAGTCTACCCCAATTGGGTTGTAATTCAGAATGAGCGTATTGTTGAGTATAGATTCGAATGTGGTGGGTGGAACCCCGACGGTTTTTTTTTTCCTTTGCTAGTCGGAGGCAGTGGTGGATGGGGACTGTGCGGCTTCGTAGGATCCCGGAGTAGTTTTGCCATTGGAACCGGATAAATTTTAGGGTTGGGTTTTTGCATCGGAGGTTGTTGATGGTTGTTTCATTTTGGTTTGGGGAGGTGGTGGTCTTCTCGGAGGGAATTGTAGGGTGTGGATGAGTGAGGGAGCTTCATTTTGGATCTAAGAGGTTGATGTAACAACGGATTGTGCTTAGCAAGTAGAGGTGAGATTGCTTATTTATGCAGCTGTTTCATTTATCCCTCTTCTTCCCGGGTGCAAGGGTTGTATGTCGTGCTTCTCATATCTCGTCGACTGGAACGGTTCCCTGCGAGGTGCATACATAGATCCATTGGAATGATGTAGCAAGACGGGTGATAGAAGCTGTCTGTGAAGCTGATTGTCTAGCTTACTATGTGAAAAATGCATCGGAGCCATGATGCCGAATGTCAACTATCTTGTATAGCATATTGACGAAGACTTTTGTTGAGTCCAAATTGCAACCCTGCGTCTCAAAACCTTGTAATTGTGTTTTTTTTTTTTTTTTTTTTTTTTTTTTAAAAAAAAAAAAAAAAAAAAAAATGCAGAGTAGGAATCATATTTACCAATTCAAAAGTAAAAGGAAGACAGAAGGGAACACGCAAGCCACCACATAAGGTAGGCTTAACTCAGCTCGAAGGGCTATCTTCCAAAATTTAATCTCGCCTCGCATGCAAATGGACGCCATTTATTTCATGCTAGTAACTTGCGCTTACATGAATATGGATTGTGCCGAAGACGTAATGCGCCATTATAATGGTGTTTGATGGCGTTGATGTGCATTATAGTTGTGTATAATGAACAGACTCACCAGCTGGTTACTGTCTGTAAAAGCGCGATTTCTTTCTGACCGGGAACAACGTTGCAGTTCGAGTCAAGCACAGCATAAGAGGCATATTGCAAACTTTATCAATGTTCCTCGACTCTGCCAGGATTTCGACTACACAAGCTGATGTCAATGCAACAGATGGGCATTCTTCAGTTCGAGTATACACTCAACCAACCCAGGAGATGAAGAAGCTTCGCCATATGATTCAAAATACTTAATGCAAAACTAGATCGTAAGTTCATCACAGAACTCCTGATGCTGAAGAGAATGTGTACGTAAAATATGCCGGAGGGGTTTTCATTTGAAAAGAGTCAATGTATCTCCTCAATGAGATTAGCCAAAGTCCTGAAGTATTGAAGTAAAGGGATTATGGTCTGCTCGGGCATGACATGACAATCCGAGTCGTACACGATATAACAGGAGAAGCCATCGTCAAAGACAACATGAAAAACCCACGGTATGTCTACATCTATCAGAGCTCTCAATTGAAAGCCAGTGAACCGAGTGAGGGATTGTGTGGGGAAAAAGAAAGAGAGAAGATCACCAATTTGATATAACTATCTGAAGTCTACTCGCTCGAACCATTTTGTTCCTTATTGCTGTAGGGTAGGAAACATAAAATGCGGAAGTAGTGGGAGTGCATAGCAGCTCTGGGAAATATCTGTGATTGTAACCAAACAATGTGGTTTGATCTAGATCAGATTTACAACTTGAATCGCATATAGTATACGACGTGAAACCATCCGCGAAGACAGAATGGTATAATCAGCTAATTCCTGCATCCACTAGTGTAGAATTGGCGGGAATGAATAGAAATAAGAAAAGATAACCAAATGAATACCTCAAGAGCGTGTACCTCCATATCATCAACCCAGGGACAGTATTTACCATTTTTCTCAGACGATCAATGTGGCCTCCCATCGCGAGTGCATTTAACCACCCACATTTTTGATAAGATGCAGAAATTGACCCGGTTTGTTTTTCCCCAAATTATTTGGGTTTTTCAATTAATTGAGAACTTGGTCTGTAAAATCTGCCTTGAAAACCCACTTCAAGGGAGTGGCAAACCGCAGATGCGCAAAGGTGAGCCGACATCTACGACATGGCTAGACCCTATAAGGACGGAGAATGCCAGTTCCCAGACGCTAGGGTACATCAAGTGCCGGTAAGGTGTGTTCGGTCGAGGGAGGAGAGACTGGATGCATTTCCCACAAAGAAATTGGAATCGTGGCTCAGTCTGATGCTTCCACACCTGGCTCAAATCGTCTGATATGCTCTTGGAGCTCAAGTTGTGCACAACCATGTCTAGTTCGACTCGCAAAACATGCCTCTCCAGAAAATTTGCTAATGTAGATTTCCCTGATGCTGGTGTTCCTCGTATATAGACTTTTTCTTTGTTGATCCGTTCCCATAGGGCTGACACAGTCCAACATTCCTCGGTATATGTGTATGGCGGCGAGGGTGGAAATGAGTAAATAGTCATTGGCCAATCTAAAACTAAGCCAGACCATAAATTATACTCTGCGATGGAATTACATAGCATAGTTGCGATGATTCTTTTAGGGATTTGAGAGTCTTGGTGAGTGGTACCTTCTGAAGGCTGTGCATGTAGTTCCCAGAGAGCAAGATGGAGGGCGTCTTCCTATCAAGCTACCAACGAACCTCGGGCACCTCATATTGAACGATAAAGGAGGCATAAGTGTACAGAGAAATATACTGGAAATGTCATGTCATGGTGAAGATAACTATGTAGTTAGTCCAGACAGCTGCTTAGTCAGCACCAAGCCAAAACATGGTCTCAACATTGAAACCAGATCGGATCAGACTCCATGAAGCCATAGTTATCACTGCTCTTGAGTGAAGCTAATATCTTTTCTTCTCTACTGACCTCTTTGCTCCGCTGTCCAGGTTAGGCCGTACGAACACCTCACCGCATGAACCGCATTGACACCATCGCACCCCTCCCTTCCCAGATCTCCCCTTCTCCGCTATACGAGCCCGATTGGACCAGAACCCGCACAATTTGACGATAACAACACACTACCCTGCGAAGATTGACCTGATATTCCTCCGATTTACGAATCCAATGCAGTCCCCCGTTCCTTGCCGCCCTTACGACTGGTGATAGACATCCCCACACTGCTTCCCTCCGCCTCTCGTGCGGCTAGATGGAAGATCTATGGCGTCCGGATATTATAACTCGGCGTCCTCCACGACGTCAACCCAGCACCGGGCTCTGGGTGATGCTCAAGGAAGATCGCTATCGAGCCTTGACGATGGCTCAACGAACGGGAGCTGGGCCGACGCTTCGTCGCGAGTCGGGAGGAATGCTCGGTCTGAGTCTGGTGGGAGTGCTAGCATCTACTCCCGCGGAGCAGGAGGGTCTCTAGCGCCTGGGCCAGGGAGTTTCAGCTCAGAGTTGAAGAGTATGAATACATCGCGAAGTGTGACACCACGGCCGCCGGATAGTAGTGGTGGTGGTGGTGGTGGTGGTGGTGGTGGTGGTGGTGGTAGTGGGACCGGTCCCGGGATATTCTCCGCGCGGAGAGCAAGCGGAACCGTCGACCCGTCGGATGGGTTCTCGAATACAGAAGAGCGTCAGGCAGTTATTCGGGATAAGATTGCGAAGGAAGTGAAAATCAAGACCGGGACGGAGAACATGCTGGAGGCGCTGTTGGCCAAGAACCCGAAACATACCAAGGACCAGCGAATAAGGGTAGAGTCGGAACTCAGTTCATCGAATCGCAAGTTAGCAGAACTACACCATGAACTCGAGGAGGAAGTATTACGAGCGCAGGCGCCGTCGACAACTCCTCCACGCAGTCGGATATCGACCCTCTTCCGCGGAAGTCCCATGCGGCCGTCATCAAGGGAACATGAGACGGCGGATGAAGGTCTGTCGGAGGATGTAGAAGGGGAGATGGAATCGCCCACGTTTGTCTTGACGGAAACACTACAAGCACTGGAGATTGAAGGGATGTCACCGGATTTCTACGTGGAGCGGGCGAACAGCCTGGTGGAGCTCTTTAATCGCCATCCCACGTTGAAGTATGATCTGGCATGGCCAGTCTTCGGTCTGCGAGTGCAGAGCATGCTATTGAGCGATAATAAGGAAATAGTGGCCGCCGGTTACCGGCTGACCCGATACGCCATTGCGGACCAGAAATCACTCCAAATAATCCGGTCTCTGCACACCGACGAGCTTGTCATTTTATCACTCGTCAAGGAAAGCAAGGCAAATCTCGAACGAGAACAGGCACTCAAATTTGTCAGAGCGTTTCTCGATGTCAAGGATGGTGTTTGCGAACTTTCCCGTGCTGTTGTTCGCACCATCGTCGCCGTTGCTGAGCACGCCGACGATCGTCTCCGCAATATTTCCGTCATGACGCTGGCGGAAATTTTAGTCAAAGATCCCGCCTTGATCGGTTATGCTGGTGGATTTGCTGTCTTGCACGATGCCCTCGCAGAAGGGACGTTTGGCGCCTCAGAGAGCTTGATCTCGAGCTTCCTGCATGTTCTAGATACACCACATAGCAGAAAGCACCTGCGTGGCGGGAGTGAGCTCGAAGCTGTCCTTGCTCCATTCACAGACTCTCTGGCTGACTCAGTGCGCAATGGCCGGTTGAAATCATCAGCCAGGGCCATCTCCGCGATGCTCAAGACATGGCCAGGCCTGGTTGTTCTCGCCAGGGACGGAGCTAAGCCCTTGCATTCTCTCCTCGAGTCATTACATTACCCCGATCCAACGGCAAGGGACCTCATCATGGAGCTGTTATTCGATGCGTTGCGTATCAAGCCGCCATCCTGGTCCTCATCCTTCCTTGCCGGCCGTAGGCTTACAACTTATGGGCGCGTTGCGAATCTTAGATCGGAGCCTGATCAAAAGCAGTTCGGTGCTCCCTACGAGGATAATAACAACGAGTTTGACCTAACAGAGCATTTCTCGACTCTTATATTGGCTACGTTGGTTGATGCAGGGTTATCAAAGGTATACTTCCCAAAGCCTACTTTAGGAGTTACGAGACTAATGTGGATAGGCACTCTGTGATCTGATTGAAGAAGAAACCGATCTGTCAGTTAGACGAAAAGCGACGCTATTATTGACAGAGGTATTGAAACTGGCGCATCACTCTCTGCCAAGCGAGACAAGTGCACAACTACAAGTCCTACCGCATTTGCTTCCACCTGCGCTCAATTTCGATATTGATAACCATGACATCTCGACCTCTACAATCTACCAAATTGACAGCATCAACCGGACACTCGCACGGTCACGCGGCTATTCAAACGCGCCTGGTCGATACAGTGTGAATATGGATGTGTCGACTTCGATCCTGTCGGTCGACCAAGGAAAAGATAAGCTGAGTCCTGCTATGGACGAAACGCAATTCCGCAACTCTATCCTTGAGACGAACGTCCTGGGTACCGTCAATTTCCTCAAGTGGAAGTGGGATCTGATCCATCGTATCGTCGAGGGCCCCTTGACAAACCCGAAGCGACTAGACGAAGCTATTAAGGGGTCTAAGTTCGTCAAACGACTTGTCGGGTTTTACCGACCATTCAAATATCGGTTCGCTATGGTTCCGAATACTAAACCCAACCAACGCTATGTTCGGACCGGCTGTGCCTTGATGCGCACTTTGGTCCAAAGCCCCGAGGGAACAAAATATCTCGCGGAGAACAAGTTTCTCAGACAGGTTGCCGAGTGCCTTGCGCAGGTGGATCGCATGAGTGGTCTCACGTCTTCTTCTCCGCTGTTCTCGAAGGAGCAAATGAGCAACACTTTGAGCGGTGGATATTTCGCGATGCTTGGGACTTTAAGCGCCGACACCAATGGACTAGCCATGATGGAGAGGTGGCACATGCTCAACATGTTTTACCATATCATTGAGCTCCGTGATCGGAATGACCTGATCCAGACTTTATTAGGGAATCTGGATTATTCACAGGAAAGCCATCTTAGAGTTATGCTGTCTAAGGCACTGACGACCGGTTCAAAGGAGATCCGCATTTTCGCTACGAAGTTATTAAGGAAGTATGCAGTCAGAAATATCTCTATATCGCAACAAGTTGGTGTTGGATATGCGGAGTGGGTTTTGAAACTCCTTGTGACGCAGCTGTATGATCCGGATGTGTCTGTTTGTCAGGTGGCCGTCAAGATTCTGGAAGAAGCATGCAACCAACGCGACTATCTCGAGTTTGTTGTCAAATGTCGACCATCCCTTGACCATCTCGGAGAAATTGGGGCGCCATTACTCCTGCGGTTCCTCTCAACATCCGTCGGGTACCACTATCTGGATGGACTCGACTACATCACGCAAGAAATGGACGATTGGTTTCTGGGACGCAATGACGCTTATGTGGGGCTTGTGGAAGCGGCCCTTTCGCGCGCCTACGTCGACACACCACGAAGAGGCAGCATTGTTCCGGAGGACCTAGTCGACATGCAAGATGTTGGACTAGTCCCGCCCCATTTTTACCGCGAGCTCGCGCGAACGGCTGAAGGCTGCAGACTCCTTGAAGAGTCAGGCCACTTCAATGAATTCGCATGGACGATTCGAGACTTCCGCCTCAACGAAGAAGAACATGAATCCCTTTTAAAGGTGAAAGGGTGTTTATGGGCCGTGGGTAACGTTGGGTCAATGGAATTTGGCGCGCCGTTCCTGGAGAAAGATCTTGTGTGGCATATCGTGGGAATTGCAGAAAGTGCTGAGGTGTTAACCATGCGCGGGACAGCATTCTTTGTCCTTGGTCTGATTTCACGGAGTCGGCATGGGTTGTCAGTGCTACGGGAAGTTGGATGGGATTCGGCCGTTGATCAGAAGGGAGAGTCTCTGGGGTTCAGTCTTCCGAATGATTTTAGGAAGTTGTTCTTAGTATGTTGTTATTATAACTTAGTTCCAAAGAGGTTGCTGACGATACAGATTGATTTCCCTAAATGCTCCGGCGACCCTGAACTAAAAAGGATATCCCGTGAGAAGTTCAAGGCTGCCGCTACAGATCCAGATCCTGCGAATCAGAAGATTCTGAAACTGATTGTTGACATGGGAAATACTGTTTTGTCCAAGAGGGCAGCATCGGATTTGCATAGGTATGATTCTGCTGTTCTTTGCATAGAAATCAAGAAAATACTAACTTACAATCGCAGCATCAAAGCAAAATACCCCGAACGCTTCCACCAAGCCCAACTCTTCCGCAAAACCCTAGATATCCTCGAAAGCCACCACTTCCGACTCCCCGCGCGGCGGTTTGCCCTGGACCTATTCGACAAGAGCGTCATGCGCCGGATAGTTCTCGAAGAGGACTCTGATACAGAGTCGGATGTTAGCTCGTTGCAGGGGTCCGCTGATTAAACACCTACCCCGTTACCCCGTCTATCTATATCTCCCACAGATCCGGTGCTTCCTCACCAAACTTCCTCTACCCTTCTCCAACTGTCACTTTTACCTTTATCTTTTTTGAATATATCATATACCCTACTGTCAAAGACACGGATACAGTCGTCTCCGGACCTATGGAGTTTTATACAGTATACATTTTTATGAATGAAACTGGATGTTGAGTCTGTGTGTGGGTTGCTTCAGCGTTGAATTGAATTGCATTTGCATATGTATAGTTATGTGTTGCTTATTGTGGTGTGTTCGGCTTTGGTTGGGAGCATGGTTAGGTTATGGGAATGAATCCATCTAAATTTGAGAATTATCGCCGCGCCAAATGTTTAACCAAGATGTCCAACCCGGATTGTGTTGCTGGCAATAGGTTCCGTATACGAGTGATTAGTGCTGATGGAGGCCCGCTAATCGATTGAATTTGGATTGCTGATAATATGGATTAACGCCTACTAATCTAGGTTAATCACAGGCAATGGTCTCGTCATCAATTTCACTATCACTGCCACTGTATGATAATTCAGATCCAGCTGAACGGTCTGAAGATACAATCATGTCATCTCATTCCTGGTTCCCTTTTCTCCGCCTAGACTTGGGCTGTTCCTTATGCTTCTTCTCCGTTGTATGGGGCTCATGAGAAGCCATCAACATAACTCGACCAATTCCTCCTAACTGCTTGTTGCCTGATCTCCGGAACGGCTCCATGAAAAGAGTCATTCCGCCAATTGTTAACACGAGGTCGCGTTCCTTCCGCGTTATTTGCCGACTCGATATACTACTCAAAATTCTTACTAGCGTTGACAACCAATTGAAAATGCTTCGTCGTCAACTACGCACAGCTGGTTCCCAAAGTTCCCCCGGTAGCATCCCACTCAGCCAGTGCGGCAGCAGTCTGGAAAGCATTCTTCGTCTATCGACCATTCCAGCATAGTCCCTTTGCCCATGGCTGTTTTGCGAAAAGATTTGACGTCGTGCTTGTTGTATTTGATAGTGGGGTTTCTGCTCTCGCTTAGAAGTTTGAGTTTCTGGATGTTTTTCTTTCAGACTTTGAGCGTGTCGCCTTCGTTGAGGTTTGTGTAGAGTGCTGTATGGGTGCGCGAGAGGACTGCTTCGTCGAATTGCCCAACGCGGTTGGTTGTTAGGATTAGGATTACGGAGTAGTATTCCAGTATTCGGAGAAAGACTAGCATTTATTCAGTATGTGTCGGACGACCAACTTAAGAAAAGACTTACCGGATATAAGGTTATTCTGCATGATATTCCCTAGCATTCGCTTACTTAGAAAGGCATCCGCTTCGTCGAGAAACAACACACATCCCCCATTTTCTCGACAGATAGAAAAAAAAAAAAGCTCAAAATCATGATCCAGCTCCCGGGCATTACTTCCTCCAAGACTACTGCAGGTAAGCAGCAACAGGATCGCTGTGTTGGGATGATCAGTTCTTCCAAATTGAAAGATCGGGTTGACGCACCATATTCCGGCTTCCTGGTTATAAACAGTAACGAACACTTACAGCTCTGCCTCCCCTTGAGTTTCATCTGCTCTCGACTTGTCTATAATTTGGACGTGATGTGCGTCAAACCCCACGACACCAGAGGACAGACAGCAGCGATTCATTTCTTCTACGGTGGGCATGAGTCTCTTGAGGATCCAACGAGCAACACGATTAGTGTTCTCAATAGTCTCCTGACACAGCTCCTACTGCCATTCCTGAATCTGGACCTGACATCCTTCATCAAGCTAACCGAGTTCCAAAGCACTGATGTGAATGCAATCCGCAACATTTTTTCAATATGTTCTCAGTCTCGCGCCACCCACGGCTTTCGTCTTCATTATCATTGATACCTCGCCTCTTTCCCTGGCTAGTCTTGATACCATGGGTGACACATATAGTCTGCTAATGTGGTTGATTAGGTTGGCAGAGTTTCACAAAAAGAGGCCCACGTCCTGTGGATTCAAGTTAATTCTCACGTCCCCGGCGCAAGTTATTGAGCTGCCTCTTGGGCAACTGAGGGACGAAGAGATATTGCATGTGCGCAAAGAGGCACCTTCCACGGAAGGATTCATGAAGTTGAAATGGAATATCAATATGGAAAGTTGATGTCCCCGTTTCGCGCGTGTCCACATCACAAATACCGCCGCCTCCTTGCGTTTTACCTCTAGCACTATGAGTCCAACGCATCCTCGCATTATCCATCATCCGCAACATGGTCGCACACCAAGGTTCCACATGAGAGAACACTTGGAAGTAGCAGACCGACTCGATGCTTACTATAGTACCCCGAACAGTCACTATGAAGACTACCTCCGGGGATGATGAGCTGTATTAATCCAGTTAGCAGTATTAAAGTGTGCCGATGTTTAATATATATATCTGGGTGCACCAACTCAACGGACATGCAATGTTTCCGTTTCCCACAACTCCCTGATCTATAACACCCTGCACATAACAGTTCTCTTGAAACATTCAGAAGTTTATAAATATGACGCAAGCATGGTTCGCAAATCTCCACGATCTGGAGAATACACATTCGGGAATGATGTACCCTCAGCTGAACATGTGGCGCGCCGATCCTTCAACTTGCCTGCTTTTCGGCCTAAATGGTTGGCACTCGATGTAGACCGACTTTATTTTCCACGAATAATATATTGATATTGTAAGATTCCGTACGGTGGATTTTGGTGATCTGGCAGGTTTAGAAATCGCGGTGGAATATATATGGAGCATGGACGGAGACTGGAGAATTGCTTTCTACTAGCTCAATCAATACATTGAGACGACGCAAACTTTTTTTTTTTTTTTTTTTCAATTAGTGTATTAACTCGGGTGCTATGGCAGATATCGACACTCCCTCCTCGTTGATGGATTTTATTACTCGACCTGAACCCCATTGTGAAAACAAAAAGAGCACCCTGCGAATATTAGGGTCGATTAAACGCACGGAACCGACACGGAAGACACCTAGAATCGTCACAAGAGTAAGAGGGAAAGAGCGAGGAAGTACCGCATCGCGGTCCAAGTCCAAGTCACAGGAGGCGTTTCGGTTTTTTGCATCTGCGTCGCGGTTGTTGCAAGAGAAGGAAACAAAAGAAACAGAAGACACATTGCGCAGGTTTGCTCTATGTTTTGTGGTCAAAGCAGATGCGACTATCGGGGAGTGGTACGTTTTGATATTCCTGTTATTATCTCGGTTGAAGTTGAAGCTAAGAATGGTGTAGTCCTGCGCCGATTATAGGGATCATTGAGGATGGCAGTCCAACTCCCGTTGAGGCTGCTTGGAAGACAATTAAGACCCAGACAAATCTCTCGGGGACGCCACCAAAAGTTACTCGGCATGGGAAGCCATTCATATCCGAGGATCCTTTTTCAATAGGACGGAGATGTGTGTTCCATCCGTTCGCGTTCCGTGTTAAGGACGATACCAAGGGGGACAGCAGCACAAGGAGCGTCAATATAATAGATGGAAGCCTTGGAGCTCTTCCATGTATTGACCAAGGACTCCGGAACACATTTTTCGACACTGAACTAGGTCCCGCATCAGGGACAATACTAGCCGCCGGGCTACAACAATTACAACAAGATCATGAGAGTGGCGCACGAAAGTTAGCCGCTGTTGCATTGAGCATACTACGGACCACTCTGGAGCATCTTGAGGATCCTATAAGTCTCAATGGCCCGTGGTGGCGGAAGACATGTCTTGCAGCGTGGCATCTCTGGAAAAATGGTCGCCCAAGTATGGATGCGGCCATTGTTAGTTTCCTGCTTTTGACCCTAAGCGAAATTTCGACGGTTCTATCGCAAGAGATTGGAAGCGGAACGTGCAAAGAGTTATGCATACAAAATGCATTTGATAACATACAGCATATGATACGGTCTTATACGACTCGCATTAGCCAGAACCTCGCATCACATATTTTGTCCAAGGACGAGAACAGCAAGACCAAGCGGAATAGATTCACCATTCTAGCTCTATCATGCAGCTCGACCATCCGCGAATGCATCGTTCAATCCGCGCTTGCCTCCGGGGCACCGCTCATCAACATCCACGTCCTCGAATCCCGTCCCTTATTCGAAGGTGTATCAATGGCCGCATCGATTGTATCAAGATTTGAAGCTCTACCAATACCGCGCCCACAAGTCCGCGTGACCATATTTACCGATGCATCTGTAGCCCAGGCTGCTATGGAAGTCGACCTTCTCCTCCTAGGTGCGGATCGGATAGCAGCAGACGGGTCCGTGAGCAATAAAACGGGATCACTTCCAGCTGCTCTGATGGTGCACCACATGGAACCAGCAGCAGAGACAATTGTCGTCAGTGAAATCTACAAGGTCGCTACGGAACCGAGCAACCAGCATAACGTGGAGAATAACGAGGCGTCAGAAGTCATGAATGCCTGGAAACAGAATGATAAAGTCAAGGGGCTGGACATTGTCCAGGATCGTCTTGAGAGTGATGATGCTGGGCATGGACAGGCAACGGTGAATGTACAGAATGTGTATTTTGAATGGGTACCACCTAGTTTGATTAACACATATATTTGCGAGAATGGGTTGAAGACACCGGAGGATTTTCAGAGACAGGCGCAGTGGGTATCGGAACAGTGCGAGGTGTATTTTGGGATATGTTGATTTGGACGCGTATACATATACCTATACGAACTTGATTTTCTAGAGCCAGTGGGACTTTCCCCTTCTGGATGCTACCACTTTCATGAGGTTACTCAGGGGCTTGCTCAGTGAGTAGCAGCAGCAGCAGTAGTTCGGATTTGGATTTACTCATACCCGTCCCAGCCAATTTTATCCATGGCTATGCGGGAACTGCCTGTCACGGGCTCGGAAATAATAGATACTGACGAAATGATATTCCTATCTAAACTATTGTAGCCATCGAGTAAAATATCGAGTCCGGAGAATGAAAAGAAAAGGAACCTATCTAGAAGATGGAGTCTTTCTTATACCACTGCAATAGGGTTCTGTTCATGTTCGGTGCCGTCCGTCATTATTAGTCTTATAGGCAGTGTCTAGCAGCATGGGCTAGGTCAAGTCGTATATAGGATTTCAAGATGTCAAGCCGTCACAGTTCTTGGACAAGATATCTACAATATGCATGAAACTGGATTTCAGATGGGCATGATATCTGCAGCCAAAGTTATATGTGGCTCAGAGACTCGGGCAAGTAATGCCAAAGCCTTACAGCCTGGGAATCGTGAGTGGGTAACTGCTATTATTGCAGTAAATACAACTGGATGGGCTTTGCCTCCCCAGATTATCCTGGCTGCAGACAACCACCAATCTCAATGGTATCATGCTATTCCAAATGATTTTATAATCAGTGTCAGAAGGGATGGCTGGAAAGATGATGGATTAGACATGGAGTGGCTTCAAACCGCCTTTGAGCCACATACAGCCTCCCGTGCATTAGGGAGATATCGCACGCTGATTTTGGATGGCCATAGCAGCCATGCCACTGCAGAATTTGACAGATTCTGTACAGAAAGGAGTATTATCCCTTTATATTTGCCTCCACATTCGTCTCGTCTTTTTCAACCATTGGATGTCGGTTGCTGTTCGCCGTCGAAGCGCTTATATGGCCAAAGGATCAGCAACAAGATGAACAAGGGAATCAACACTGTTGATAAACAGAATTCCTCTATATATACCTTATTGTCCGTTACCATGCTCTATCATAATCAAATATTTAAAGCTGCTTTGCAGCAACTGGCCTGGCTCCATTCTCATTCGACCGAGTCCTACTGAAGCTTTGTATACCAGAAGACACCAACACCACCTTCATCATCACATAACAACCAATCCTTTGGCGCAGGCAAGACTCCAGCAGATATACACCAGATTGAGGCCCAAAAGAAGCGACTATATTACTTCCGAAATTATCAGATATCCCTGTCAACTATGGAAGACGCAATGGGAAAGGTCATTAGAGGGGCAGAGATGACCATGCAAAATGCCATCCTACTGCAGCATGAAGTCTACCAGCTTCGCATAAAAAATAAACATTAGAGGAGGAGACGAGAAGCTCCTAGGGCCTTTATACAGGCTGGGGGGAGCCTGACAGATGCTCGAGGGTTGCGAGAAGCGCAAGAACAGGAGGCTATAGTTGTGACGGCCTGGTCACATTGGCTGGCTATCACGTGAGATGCAGTTGTTTGCTTTGTTGATACATACGGCGTCACCTCCTTTCTTCCATCCTCATGTTGATTATTCTTATTGATAGCTGCCTGGGTAGAAACCATGAGGTGGATGCTCCGTCATCCTAACTGAGCTCGCAACAGCCTGCGGCCTTTAATCCACCAGACACTATCCGGTCTCTCACAAATGTTCTTATGTTATCGTTTGTCTCATCTTCTATGGTCGAACATAGCCTGCCACCTTACAAGAATACCATGGAATTGAATAAGCCTTCATTGCCTGCGATCCATATGTAAGCTAATCTAAATGTTTTCGGTGATCATTCCTATATCTGTATCCATCATGTTTATAAGCCCTACTCTATTATTTGAGAAGCATCAGATAAAAAATGCCCATCCCTATAGGATTCAGACCTTACTATATCATAAGAATATAAATTGAATCATTGTCCGCATAATCAATAAGAAAAAGCGAATAGCCGTTGACTCACTAGCACGGCGGCGAGACCACGGTCACCGAAGCGGTAACTGAGGCGGCCGCCGCCAGCGGCAACCGTGGCAGAGGGCGATGGCCCTGTTCAGGATTGGTCGACATCGCCTCTAGGTACTGTAAGATATCTCCGAGTCGAAACTGTAGTTGTATACGCGTGATCAGACCGGATCGTGCATTCGGATGAACAGTGTCGGGCTTAAGCAGCGACTGGCAACAAAACCGCCGGTGCTTCTAGCAAGAATAATCGGACATAAACAAATTCCCCACAAAAAAAGTCCAGAGCTCCGATGATGCACCGGACGCTGTCCTTACTGGTCTACTGACCACATTGTTTATCGGATTTACCAGCATGCCCAGATACCAGATCGGGGCCTTGGGTGCAATGCCCCGCGTTGAGACCTGCCCTGGTACGCAATGTGTCTGGGGTAGAAAAGCTCGAGATGAGACTGTGAAAGCTATGGATCCTGGTCTCAACATCTTCCGTATCCCACTTAACCACTCGTCCTTATTTTCAAACGACCACAGATGTCACACAAGATGGCCACTCAACCTCGTCTCAAGCTCGCCTTAATCGGCCTCGGCCGTCTTGGTGCCATCCGTGCCCGTATCCTCGCTTTTCAGCAGCCTCGCATCGATCTCGTCGCTGCCTGCGACACCAAGCCTGGTAGCGACGAGTGGGCCGCGGCCAACCTCCCACCCTCCATCAAGTTCTTCGCGGATCCAGAGGATTGCATGAAGAATAGCGGTGCCGAGGCTGTTCTCATTTCCACCGCGACTGCCACTCACGCTCTCCTGGTTATTCAAGGTCTTGACCTGGGCCTGGTATGTCTGCCAGCGATGGATTAGCAATAACCTAGGGCGCTTCAAACTGACAAATGCCAGCATGTCATGTGTGAGAAGCCTATCTCTGTGGATGTCATAACTACCGAGGAGGTCCTCGCCAAGGCTGCTTCCAAGCCTCACCTCAAATTCTTGGTCCCTTTCTCTCGACGATGTGAGTGACATCAGTCTCTGTGCTTGGATGTCTGAGGCTAACCCACGCTAGACGATGACTCGTACCGTGCTGCAAAGCAAATGGTCGAGAATGGCTCACTCGGTCAGATCCATGCGGTTGAGACTTCCTGCCTCGACCAGCAGGACCCTACAGGTGTGCATACATCTAGCTTCTGTCTGAGATAACCTGGCTAATTGTGCTTGAGGCTTCTTCGTTACCTTCTCAGCTCAGTCCGGAGGTATCTTCGTTGATATGGGTGTTCACGATGTTAGTCACTCTCATCTTCCACTTGGGTCCGTTCACTCACGCAGCACAGATTGACGTGGGCCGATATTTCCTGGATGTCAAATCAGGTCTCAGTAACCCTAAGAAGCAAGTTAACAGGGTCATCGCCATGGGTCAACAGGCTGTCTATGGTGACCTCTCCAAGCACGGCGACTGTGACAACGGATGGGGCCTTGTTGAGTTTGCTAATGGAAAGGTCCTCACCACTCACGTGGGCCGCACGCTCACCAACGGCTTTGAGGGAATGACTCGCGTGTGTGGCACCAAAGGCCACTCTGTCGTCAACGGTAACTCCACGATAAACCGTGTCGAAGTTCGTGATTCACATGGTGTGCGTACCATTACCACCCCGGATGCGTTCGTGCTCTACGATAAGTCATTCATCAATGACCTTGCTGAATTCGCTTCTGCTATCCTGGATAATGAGCCCCTCACTTGTTATCCAGAAGATGCCTACGAAGCCGCTAAAATTGCTACCGCTCTACAGTACTCGTTCCGCAATGGCGTACCAGTCTACTTTGACGATAATGGACTACCTATCATGGAAATTGCCAAGTGAACAGTCTCAGACTTGACGGGGATGGGTAATGAGATGGGGCCGGTTCGGTTTTGGGTTAATATGTATGTATCATAGCCTAGTTAGCCCTCAGAGTTGGTATATATAGAGAATAATAAGCACGAACAATACATATATCAGAATTACTAAGAATAATAGGGAAGCTCATCACTAAGAGGGTTTGGGTCTATGAATAAATATTTAAACCTTTTAGTACAGTCAAATGAAGAGGTAGAGCTATTCAAGATTTTCCACAATAAACGAATCCTCAGCGATGTGTCCGAAACCTTAGCGAAATGTAAATAAGGACTCTAAGCGATAGCACAACATGCAAAATCCAAAAGATCCTTATTTCAAATAGAGAACCCTAAAAGCTTTTTTTTTTTTTTTTTTTTTTTTTTTTTTTTTTTTTTTTTTTTTAGCATTATCATTTCTTACATCCTCTGCGAAGACACCTAGAACTAGTCTACCTCTTTACCTTACCTAGTCATGCAGTTCTAACATCTTGTCAAACTCAACTTCCATAATCTAGGAGCAGCAGACAAAGGTCGAGGTTATAATCTTGTACATTCAAATAATTACTAATCTTGCTTTCGTTTGCATTCATATAAATAACTATGCCTGATCCGGTCCACCCTTGAAGTGCGTTGAGGGTGGCCGCTCTATTTTGTCACTAAGCAGGGAAAATTGAATGTTCTACTCACATTTGACTAGCCAGCGGGAGCTCCGAATATATCCTGTAGGAGCATTGGATCCCAAAAGTCTTGTAACTGCAGTGTGTCAGCTCTGACAATCAGAAACCTAGAAGTTGATCTTACAAGTTCGGCTGTCGAGTCGGGAGTCACCAAGGAAAGTGATGAGTTAGGCACCATCATGTTTCCAATCCTCAGCTCACTCTGAGCACCTCCAAAGTTATGTGTACTCGGCGATGAATTCGAGTTATTTGTGCCATCATAACCGGTTGGAGTCTCACGAAGATGAATAGTCCTGATAGTCCGGTGATCCTGACCAGCTCTCTCAATAAGTCTGGTGCGCCAACCAAGAAGCTCCACATCTTCACTGTCCTCTCTGTCTTCTCGGCTTCTTTGCCGTTCCGGATGAGCGTCTCGCTGGGAGTCGGCTCCTTGTGCGATAGATGCCGTGGAGATTTTGGACGACGCCCGAACACGTAGCTTCAAGAGCCACTGCAAATTACGGCGGTACCGGGGAGTATTAGCACCGTGGTGAATCAACGAGGTAAATAAGTCAATAGCGGCGTCAAGCTGGGCAATGACGAAGGTGGCCATAGGATTACCAGGATCACGCAATACCAGCGTCCCTAAGCATAGGGCTGATCCGAAGACGTGAAACTAGCCATGAGTCAGAGCTTTCTGGCATAAACCGAGGAGGAACATGCCCTTACCCAAAAATTCCATTGCCTGGTGCTGATAGCGGGGAAGCGGGTATGAATGTCGCCGACAATGGCAATGATAATCTATGAAGCTTAGATTACTGTTACAGGGGAATGGAAAGGTGGCTTTACCGCACAACGTTCTATCACAGTCAAAAATGAAGGTGCGTATATAGATTTGAAACGATCATCAATGTCGTAGAGCGCTTTGGCATAATAAGGTCGGTGAAGGTTTATAATCGTCTCCGAAATGTTGAGCGCAAGATTCATTTGCTACTTGAATTAGTTTGGAGTCTAAGTTGAGAGGGCAGACAAACATACCTGGAAGGAAATAGCCATAGATCTCCGGGATGGTTGTGGAGATGCTTCAATCGCCGCCTCGATGTGAGGGTATCGAGAAGGCATTGCCAAGAACGCTGATCGGCAACGAAGGGAGAACGGAATGTTGCGTTCAAATTCGCCGCTAGGGTAAGTCAGCTTGCAAATAGATTGAAATTTGTGAACACATACAGCCTAAGGTCTAGGTCGGTGACAGCGGAGTACTCTGGTTTCTGCACCTTCATTGCCATATTGAGAATTCTGAACCAGGTTAGCTGTGTCGAAAATCCAAATTGAGGATACGCACTCGGATGAAAGCTGAGACAACTCAAACCGGAGTATAGAATAGCTCTTTTCGCCGTTCACATTCAGAGGCTCGGAAGGAAACGCAACGTCGCAATGCTCAGGATTCATAGCACAACTGATAGATTTTAGCTTTATAATTGGCATGTATAGAGAAACCATACGGTCTTGAAAAGCAATGCGCTTGGAAGGTGTCGGCGGCATTGCACTCCCAAAACACCTTGCGTCTATACTCGACAACATCCTGTGGTAGATTCCAGCAGGCACCGTCCCGGTGCATACCCATCTAGGTGTGTACCAATCAGTTCTGTGCCATCACTTCATGACCTGCACTTACGGCTTGAGCCAATCGCATGACCAGACCCCACAACGGCCAGGCATTGTCACCGCGTCCACCTTTGTCTAACTGCCTGCTCAATTGTCAGCGGCACGGGGAAACTTCAAGATTGATCTACGAACAGATGCAAATGCGCCATCAAATGCTGAAGATCGTTAGCGGCGGAACAGAAGCGTTAATCTTAAGACTTACTAAAGTTTGCACTCCAGCAACCATGTTGTTCGATAGGAAGTTCCCCTTGACCAGAGCCTGTTCCGAGAGATGTAGCCAATCTTCAGCAGATGGATCGTAGTTGGGCATCTCAATATTAAACATGGTGCCTTGAGCCATGACGATGAAAACGAGCGCAATTTCCTGCGGATTGACTGAAGGAGACATAGAACCCCCATTCGAAAGCCTATAGACACGACTAAATGTTTTCTGGAACGCGGTCTTGGGAACAACATCATGACTGGATTTTGTCAGAATGTCTTCTAAGGCCTTGTCTACAACACTCACTGCCAAGCACAATAGCGATAGTACGACTCGACCAGTACCTCTGCCTCTTCTTTGGGGGGTAGGCGTGAAAGCAGATCCTGAGTACTAATGTATGCTGCAGAAGAATTAAAAGGAAATACGACAGGAGTAACGCTGGAAGCCACACGATTAGCCTGAAAGGGAACCGAAGCTTGGGATATCTTCGGAGAGGGAGGGCGAGTAGCCGATGGACTGTCCGATATATCTTGTGTTTCCGACTGGAATTATTATTAGATTTTTTTTTCAGCTCGGACAGCGCCGCTGAAGCAAGACAACATACCTCTTTCAACCATTCACTGCCTGCGGTCGGGCCCAAATACTTGGACCGACCTCCTTTGCTCAACATCAATGTGCCGTAGGAGCCGCTCTGCTCGTCAACACCAATGGACTGTGGAGCGGGATTGCTGGGGCCACTAGCTCTGTTCGGGTCGCTGTGTTCAGGTTCGGCGATTATGCCTGCAGGCAGCGAATGTGGCCTATGCATAGCCTCTGGCTGCAGCACGTGGGCGAGAAGGTCGAGTTGTTCAAAACCATCCCTATTGCAATTGCTGAGCTGCATCAGGGTGCGGCCGGAATCGCCCGCGAGCCCTTGCGCCGCGAGTATTGCCTGAACATGGCGGTGGTGTGGTGATGATTCTGATACATCATGTCGATGTGGCTGCGGTTGCCCCTGCTGCGTGGTTTGATGGTCATAATCAAGGGAAGTAGATGAGACGTGAGCATTTTCATCAGAGGGTTGCGACTGTTGGGCTTGCACGGCATCCTGCTGTTGTCTAGAGTGCACATTGGATTCCGGACTGTAGTACTAATTTAGCTCCCTGCTGATTTTGCTTGTCTATACATGGCGTCAAAACAAACCGCGACTGTGTTTCGTCGGTTGTAGTCCCATTACAAAGTTCAACCCGTCGTCGCCGTATACAGTTTGAGCACGGCACTGCAAGATTTCTTCAGCCGGTGGACGAATTGCATACGCTTTCTTACGATTGTACAGACCTTGCCGGTCGCACTTGATCTTCAGTCTCCGACATTCTGGGTATTAGACATTAACTCTCTGTGACCTCTATGACCTCACGCCTACATGATGCAAGGGAAAACTAACCTGTACAGCTGTGAGACGGCCGTTGTCTTCGCTGCTTCTTGGGTGATCTCGGACCGTTGTCGGGGTCATCATCTCTGCTCGGGCGACCTATGCCCTTGCCTGCCGCAGTTGATCGGCCGGGTCCTGATTCGCTGTTCATCATGCGACCCGAATCGGCTTGCACACTGGAAATAACGAGCAAAGGTGTTCCTGGGGTGGAATGAGCAAGTTTGCACCGGGGCGCGAACTTCGATGGTGAATTGATTTCGCCCGGTCATGTGACCGTAACCCCGGTCTTCGCGGGGAAGATTAGCCATGCATTGGCACAGATTATCTCCGATGCATCTTATCGCCGACATCAAACCATTTGGAACCAGCAACATCCATCCATCCAACTACGTCCCATCGGATTAAAGGAGGCATGCTGTGCGTCTTTAAAAGAGTATGTGGCCGCCGAGGGGGATTGAGTGTGAGAATATCTGGCATATTTGAATTACAACGGCAAAAATGGGTGTCGAAATTCACGAGTCTGTCCTTGCCAGCACGGTCAACATGGCCGACATCAAGGCCCAGGCCGTTGTTAGCGAGCTGAGCGAGCCAGAAACTACCCTCAAGCCTCCTGTCGCCGACAACTTTATGTATGACTTCAAGTACAATCACACTCTTCCCACTTCCGACGCTCTGGGGATTGAAGTACCTACCGACTGCAATGCTCAAAAGGAGGCCGAGTCCATCCTGGAGCGCCTCTCAAAGACCATGGGAGCTGGAGACGCCCAGGCATTCACTGATATGTTCCTGGAGTATGGTATGTTTTCTCCTTTTTTCTTCGTGGACGACTTTTGAACATGACTGAACTCACTGTGCAGGTGTTTGGCGCGACAAATTGTCCTTCACTTGGGACTATCGCACATTCAATTTCCAAACAGCAATCCTGAAAGCTGCCACCGATCTTTTTCCTAAAACAAAGGCCACTAATTTCAAATTCCTTATGCCCGCCCCCACCGTTGCCCGTCCCTACCCTGACTTTGCCCAACTGCAATTCGTTGTGTCCTTTGAGACCGAGCTCGTTGCTGCTTCGGCTGTGATCAACTCGGTCCTCACCAAAGAGGGCTGGAAGATCTACACTATGCACACCGTGGCCGAGAAACTTAAGCAGTTCCCCGAAATTCCTCCTGCCGACGGGCACATGAACGGTCTTGTCAGCTGGCAGACGCAGAGGGCCAAGGAAATTGACGCTGCCAAACCCGAAATCCTGATTATTGGTGGTGGCCAGAAGTGAGCTTGTAATCCCCCAGCCTCGTCCGCAGGTGCTGACATTCAATAGCGGCCTCGCGCTGGCAGCCCGATGCAAGGCACTCGGCATGGAAAGCCTTATCATCGAGCGCAGCGAAGAGGTTGGTGATGTTTGGAAGAAGCGTTACGAGTATCTATCACTTCACTTCCCCCACTGGGCCGATGACCTGCCTTACTTCGCCTACCCCAAACACTGGCCCACATATACCCCTGCTTATAAGCAGGGTATGTACATGGAGTGGTACGCCTCAGCTCTGGAGCTGAAGGTCTGGACCAAATCGGAAGTCGTCAAAGCCGAGCAAGATGACAAGACCAACTGGACCATAGTTATCAACAAGGAGGGCAAGGAAGCCCGAACACTACATCCCAAGCAGGTCGTCATGGCCACCTCTCTCTGCGGTGTTCCTATGACCCCGACCATTCCCGGCATGGCTGATTTCAAGGGCGTCATTCGTCACTCGAGCGCTCATGACAGCTCTCGTGATTTCGTGGGCAAGAAGGTCTGTGTGGTTGGCACTTCATCCTCCGGCTTCGACACTGCATTTGACTGCTCGCGCCGCGGCATCGATGTTACACTGCTCCAGCGTTCGCCGACCTACGTCATGTCTCTCACCCACTCCGTTCCTCGCATGATCGCCAGCTATGGACCCGATGCCGACGGCTACCGGCCTAGCCACGAGGAGCAGGATCGCTTTTTCTTTGCTACCCCTGTTGGCCCTGGGGAGGAGCTTGCTAGGCGTAACGCCAAGGTCCTTGAGGACCTTGACCGGCCCCTTCTTGATGCGCTCAATGCTCGCGGTCTCCGGACATGGCGCGGCCAGCGTGGTACTGGCGGTGCAACACTGGGTCAGACCCGTAATGGTGGCTTCTATTTCGATGCAGGTGCTTGCGAGCACATCATCGACGGCAAGATCAAAGTGGAATCAGGGTACATCGAGAACTTTACGGAGGACAAGGCGATTCTCAACGGCGGCCGTGAGCGCGAGTTCGACCTGATTGTCTTCGCCACCGGCTTCTCCAACACTGTTGACTCAGTTCGTGCCACTCTTGGCGACAAAATTGCCGACCAGTGCGGTCCAATTTGGGGCATCGATGAGGAGGGTGAGTTCAAGACTGTTTACCGGGAGACGGGGGTACCCAACCTTTGGATCATGGCCGGCTACCTTCCGTACACCCGCTTCCATTCTAAATTGCTTGCTATGCGGATGAAGGCTTTGAATGAGGGTATTGCTCTTGCTCCTTATAAAGTGCAGATATTTTAGATAGTATTTTGATGGTTATCTGTAATGCCAAATCTACCAGGAGATCTGTATTCTCATAACGAGCATTAGATATTCTCTTGGCAAGAGTTGGCTGTACCTGTCTTTCTCAAATGGGGTCAAGCAACACTGTCCAGAGAAACGGTTAACGCATGGTAAGATTTGACTAATTTGCGTGTATGATGGGGTCTACAGAAGGATATACCTAATAATCCCCGTCAGAGAAATAGGTTTTAGCTGGAAAAGTCCTATTCTTGTATTGGAAGTCGACTTAGGTGCATAAATTCTGCCGCTCTACAGACCCTGACCGGTCAAGCCGTCACTGTTATGCTAGGTCAGTATAGATATAAATATGAAAGGCTGCAGTTTTGGTTTGGATATCTCTTCCTTTACATGATGTGGTCGTCCTCACTATGGACAAAACTCGACCCAGACTTTTTACGACTAACAACAGAGGCTATTCTTGTAACGAAAATCAATACAAAGATGAAATGTAAACAAACTTATAATTCCAACTAGAACAACTCAATACCAGCTACTGCAACTTGGCAGGGCCGTACCAGTCAGCGAAGCCAAGATCGAAACCCCAGAGAGGCGTGTTCAAGCGCTTCGCCTTGCCTCTAGCAGCTAGACCATCGAGCGCGGCCAGATCCTCCTTGGAAAGCGAAATGACCTCTTTGTTACTGGATATGCGCTTCTCAGTAACAGATTTGGGAAGCACAACAACGCCCTTGTTGACGTGATAGCTGATGAGGATCGTGGCGGCCGAGACCCCATTCTTCTCCGCAATCTGTTGGATATCGGGATCCGACATGATCGGAGCACCTAGTGCACTCAGCTAATGTCACCCAAGCTACTATAGATCAAGCTTACCGGTAGATCCAAGAGGCGAATACGCTTCGAGAAGAATGCCGAGCTTGTCGCAGAACTCTCGAAGTTCATGCTGCGGAAGGAAGGGGTGCAGCTCGACCTGGTTCACAGCAGGCACAACCGTCCACTTCTTGCGTAGCTCTTCCAGATAGGGAACAGACCAGTTGGCAACACCGATCGCCTTGGACTTGCCCGACCTGTAAATCTCCTCCATCTGGAGCCAGGTCTCGTTCTGGTCCCACGATCGGTCGACCGAGCGAGTACCGTCCGGGTTGACCGGAAGAAGTGCACTCGTCTGGTTCTGCGGGCGGATCAGTTCAATAGAGCTCAAGCGAGGGGCAACAAGGCTCTCACCGGAACCAGTCGAACAGGCCAGTGTATAAGCTGATGGCATTCATTAGCCTAGGCCTTGCAAGATATTGCACTGTACAGCGACTTACGTAGAGATCAAGGTAGTCGGTATCCAAAGCTTCAAGGGTCTTCTGCAAACCCTCCTTGACGTTGGGATGGTCAGTGTTCCAAAGCTTACTGGTGATGAAAATCTCTTCACGAGGCACGCCGCTATCCCTGATGCCCTGGCCGACTTCGCTCTCGTTGCCTAGGAATGTCATTATTCTAGTCGTTGGGCCAATGGTTCACTCATGTGTATTAGCTCACCATAAATTCTGCATCTGGTTAGCGAGAACTGGCACAAGGGAGACTGCAGGGCTCACAGTGCCGCATCAATGTGACGGTATCCATCCTTGAGGGCATAGGCCACTGCCTTTGCCACCGCTCCAGGTTCAGATTTCCAGGTTCCTGTACACAATTTCAGCAAGTACAACACTCACTAGAACATCATCACTCACCAAGTCCGACGGCAGGAATCAGGGCGCCAGTGTTGAGCTTAAAGTGAGTCGGAGGTGTCATTGTGCTGGGTGTACCGATATCTTTGGTTCGGCTTTCCGTCTTCGAGACAACGATGAAGATACAAGAAAGCAGGTGTAGGTGGTCCCCTAAAAAGTGCCCTACTACTCATCGGAGATACTGGGCGGACGCCACCCACTCCGGTGGTTCGGAGCGGCCGCTATATGGTGTCACCGCAAAGTACAGAGCGTAATATCGGAGCCTATGTCCCCGAAGATGCAAAATGGTCGGTCATTAGTGACGCGGAGGTAAGCTGTCGGATATATCTAGCCCCGGTAAGCGGTTATCCCCGTCGCCGACCGGGCCCTAGCAACGGAGTCCGATACAAGGGCTTCGTTATACGCGAATATTCGAATCGGCTCTTTCACCAGCGTGAGCAAAAGACTGTCAGAAGGTATCTGGACCAGTTGAGTGTACTGCTACAGTGTCATACCATCGTCTACTCAGGCCCGTGCTGTTTCCCTGGTCTATCCTAGGACCGACCAATCGGGGATTCCTCTCGATAAACAACATCGTAATCCCCTGCCTCAAAACACCATGCTCTTCACAGGGGAACGGCCACAGCTCCTGGTCACACTGTGAATAAGGCGCACATCATTCCGCTCGCGCTCAATGCCGAGTCATCTTTGGCCATGTCGCACTCCCACACAAACACTTCAAGCGCACACATTTTCAGCACACCCGGGTCATTACCGGTCCCGCAGGGCGTAGAAAGACTATGGTATGCCAATACTTGCAGAACGAGCTAGAAGTACCATTCCTAGAAGGAGACGATATACGTTAGAAATTGCCGCTGCGCGCCTTTGCGCGATCAAACCAACTCATAGAAAAGCACAAACCACTAACTTGAGATTGAGCACTACAGTACCACTCCAAATCTAACGAAGACAAAACGGGCAACGGAGCCCCTCTCACTGATGAAGGTCGCTGGGACTGGCTTGTTGCGCTACGCAAAGCCGCCATTGACGCTCTGTCCCCCGCCGAGTCCGACGACCTCCATCCTCCCTTCGCCAGGGTTGTTTCCTCCTCCGCCCGGAAAGAAGAGTACGGTGATGTTATGCGCATTGCTGTCTACGGCTCGCCCTACATCAAGCTCCACTTTATCTATCTCAAGCTAAACGAAGAGATGCTCATGCGGCGTGTCACCCAGCGCGAGGCCCACTACATGGAAAGCAACATGGTCCGCTTCCAGCTGCAGGCATTCGAGGAGCCACAAAGCGAGTGGGGTATCATTACTATGAATGTCGAGGGTTCCCAGGAGCAGGTGTGCCGTCGCGTGCTGTATTCTGTTTGCTCCAATCTCAAGGACGGGCCGCGATCAGGGCAGGGTTTATTTGGTTGAATACACCCTGGTGTAATCTTGCATATAATTAACGAAGTCTCTTGAGATTTGGCTAGTTATTAACATTGAGGGCTCAGCCCCCAACAACTAGCATTTGCATGTGGTATGATTTTGCGTCCTTTTTCGGCACATCCTGTGATAACCCCATTCTTCGGTGCGAATGAGCATAGCAGCCAATGAGAAACAAAGCTTGATAAATCTTGGCACACGTCTGAGGATGTCACATAGTATGTCGTTCAATAAAAATTAAAGCAAAGCTTCAACAAGGATGGTACTTCCACACATGTTAGTAAACACTCGCTCTCACTGATTCATTTTAGGGCCAAGGAAAATATGCCAAAGGTGGGTTATTGTGTTTCAAAGCATATGTCTGGGAAGAAATATATAGCAAAATAGTGCAACCGATTTCAATCCATCCTGTAGCAAGATAACAAACTGGCATGTCCAACCAGGGTCTGGTCCATCAAAACCCAGTCTGAATAGGTATCCCCCACCTGCTTACATCCTGAACACAGCGAAAACTCACAAATGAACATAACAGTGGGTAAGATATCAATTATATGCCTCTAGCATCGTAAATTTTCACAGGACCAAAGTTTGATAGAGTGAGATGCGCTTTACATTTCTGTGCAAACTGCTCCACCTTTATAGCCAGATGGCGTGTTTTATTCCACCTTGCAAGCCCTCATTCAAGCCGGCCACGAAAGTCCACACGTCGCCTTTATCCCCACTGATTTCGTAGACCTCGACGCCACCACCTTCTTGCCCAGCCACCACGACGTATCTGCCGTCATCGCTGAGCCGCATGCCACGGATGACATCGACATTAGTTCGCATGTGCTTCATGTCCTTCACCGTTTTGCCATCATTTGAGAGCAGAATGATAGCGACATCGTCCCCGGGCGGCAGCGCCTTGGGAACGTTTTTGAGATGAGGCTCGCGCTGCGCAATGTGCCTTTCCCACCTGTTACTGACATACAAGACGTTCGGAATGGTGGGGTGAAGGCAAATCTCGGCGGAATCCATCATGGTTTGATGGTCGGGATGAATCGTTGAAGGAATGATGTTGGGTGCAAAGCCATCAATCGGCCGGATGGCTTCCGCCGGAGCAGTTGATAAGTCAAAGGCGATGACCGTGTGCGAAAGCTCTCCGATGACATACATGATCGTCCCTGAGCCAGGTCAGCTGAGTTGAATGGTAGGATGGAGCTGGAGCGACATGCCACCAGGAGCCAACACAGCATGTCGAGCGCCTGTCCCAGGAGGGCACTGAAGCCAGCCACATATTTCAAGCTTCACCTTATCGCGACGAAGGATCCACACCCGGTCTGATCCCAAGTCTGGGGCGTACAGCAAACCTCTTCTGTCTTCGAGTATCTGATGTATATGGCATTGTCGCTGTCGGCCTTTGTTCGGACCGTGCCCAACCGACTCGTAAGGGAATTTCGGCAGGATCTCTGTCCGGGGGGCATCTTTAAGTAAAAGCGTGTTTGCATCAGTAATGGAAACGGGATAAACGGCAACGGATCCTCCCAGATACTACCCATCGTTAGCACAAATAGTAAAGCGAGGGGTTCGTATAGACTAACGGTGCCAAGCACGAGTGCAGAACTATCGCGTAGCGTGATGACTATCCAAGCGCCATTAATAACAGAATAAAGGAAGCAGTAGCGTACAACTAACAGTGACCAGGTGCTCCTAGAGTTGGCTGTTGACTGGTAATTTTGCAAGTCTTTTGTGCGTGATCAATTTCGAAGCTGTATAAAAGACCAGACTCGATACCCTCGGATAGCCCAATCAGACGATCAATGCTCCCTTGCGAAGATGAGAGTTCTGTCCATGAAGAATTGAAGGGGGCTGCATAATTGGCGAGAATGCTCAATTCCTTTTTGCCGAGATCGAGTGTGAGCGTGGTAAAGTCGGCTCGATCGCCAGATATCAGAATTTTGTACTGCATAGCGTGCTAGGCGGACTTAAGAGACTGTTCCACACGAGACTTGCAATAGCTTTAATGTACGGATTCATTCAAGCGCATTAGATAAACCTGGTCATTAGCAGCGCCTCGCAATATATGCGGTCTGGGCCCCCGGTTTACGGTTAGATGTCGGGAAAAGCCTTGCTTGCATTAAATGATGAAAGGGGACTGACTGTTCAAATATCTCCCTATGCTAAAACCCTTATGTCCGACGACTACGTCTGTCGACTAGGGCCCCGATCGGTAATAGAACCAATTAGGCGTCACAGGATAACCACACGGCCGTTGGCGAAATGTCCGATCGGCAATTTTCCCTTGCGTTTCTTCTGCCCGATCACTACTTGATATAGCCCCGAGGATACTATATGCTCCGATGGAACGCTCCGTGCTTTGCAGGATCCCGATCATTTCTTGACTTCGTCAACGCTGTATAGCGGCCTCTGGGAAGCACTCAAGTGGGTCGTAGTGGTGAAGACAGTGGAAGTGTATGCGACGCGATTTTGTGTGGTTAGCCGCTCAAACTAACTTGCCGAATAGATCATTATTTAGGGTCTGCCCAACTTCCCTACGATTTTGTATAGCAGGTCGGATTAACCTAGAAGAATTGTGTCGTGACCCGAATATAGCCACTGGACTGTGATATATTAGCCATAGCTTCTACGCGCTCCGTCCCATGTCCGATCTAAGAGCTGGCCTGTTCTGATCTGGGTCTAGGTGTAGTTTCGGAGACGGCTTCCCGCAAAATGATTGGATAAGGCATCGATACTATGGTTTCAACATAATTTCGACGTTTGGAGGTCCATGTTTGGGCAACTATGGGCCTCGACCGGCAAGCTCACATGGCTCACCCCCACAATATAGAATATGCGGGGACCCCACAAAAACCACAAATCACTCAACTCGCACTGGGATATCGGCCAACCATTGGCTATCTCCAATGTAGCTGCCAATAAACTGCACATTATACAAGAAGCCGACAGTGAAGGATGCAGGGTAAGAAGGCTGACAAGTACTAAGACACTTGGATTCAGAGGAAATCTTTGAGAACCACCTCAGACTTTCCTTCTATTTGTAGAATAATTCTGTATGAATAATTCTGTATTTACCGAAGACATAAAGAGCTACGAGAACATCCGGATTTATAACAATGGGCCGAACCACGTGTCCCTCTCTTTAACTGCCTCGTAGTACGGCACATCTCGGCAAAAGGCAAACCAGCATTAGATGGCAGAACAAAATAAATCGAGTTGGGGTAGCGTGATGACGTTGGCCCAATAGCCAGTGATCACAAATTTATAATTAATCCATGGCATGCAAAAGGGCTTGGATTAGACTGGTCTACGCAGGTCTTAAAGTGATGTTAATAGTTCATACGTTCATTAAAGCTCATCAAGTTGGTCTGATGTATATAGCATGGGCTCATAATACATACTTCCAGTGTCCCGATCTGAGGCCGGATGTTGGAAGCAGTTTTCCAGGCGTTGATAAAAAGGTCCGGTCGAGATTTTGCCTATACCAAAGGCCTCTGTCGCTTAAAGGACTGACCGGTAACGGGGATAACTGGGCGTGTTGGTGACAAGCTGAGGACAATAACCACCCGCCCAGTAGCTTAGGGTCCAGCCCAGGGTGAAATGTCCGATGGCGTATCTCCGTCTTACTTTCGACCGACCACTAAGCACTTGGCCCGGCATGATATGACACTCCATGGTCGCATGCAAAACCACGGGCCGAGATAACATGCAAGAAATGTACCCTGCCTGTCTGGCCTAGCCAGCCAGCCATGTACTAGCTGTCCTCGGGATTATTTAAGAACCCGCTCCTGCCTCTTCGTCCCCTGCAGTACCCCGCAACTAAAATCCTACCATGGATATCGATTCGAAAGACTCAATGCAGCAACAGGTCAAAGGGGATGACCCGATGGCGGAACATGATGAGGGGGGCACCATTGACGTCCTGGACTCGATGCCCTCATACGGTCCGGAGGGCGTCAGAGGGCTCGTAAGCTCTGGCTATGTCCTTGGAGCCGCTTGTCTTGCTTCGCTGGGTGGATTCAGCTTTGGATATGACCAGGGGGTCATATCGATTATCAATGTCATGCCTCAATTCCATGGGGCTATACCGCAGGCAGAGACTGACTTTGGCAAAGGGCTTATGACGGGCATGCTGCTCCTTGGCGCATTCATTGGCTGTATTTTTATGCCTTACCTTGCGGATAAGATCTCCAGAAAGTGGGCTCTGACTGTGGTCGTCGTCATTTTTGACATCGGTGCCATTATCCAGACGGTTGCTCAAAACTACGGCATGTTGGTCGCAGGGAGGACCATTGGTGGTATTGGTGTTGGCACGCTGGCCATGGTATGTATTGACATCTTGAATCACAATGCACCTGACGGAGACAGCTTGCTGATAAACATGGCAATTCAAGGGCGCGCCGCTGTATATCTCTGAGATTTCACCGCCAAACCTGCGAGGGACCCTTCTGGTCCTGGAATCTATCTGCGTCGTTTCAGGTGCAGTTATTGCGTATTGGATAACCTTCGGGACGAGGTTGATCGGGAGTGAAGTGTCGTTCCGTCTACCATTTGGCCTACAAATGGTCAGCGCAACTCTTCTCGGACTCTGCATCCATTTCTTCCCATATTCACCGCGTTGGTTGGCTCTCGTTGACCGTCATGACGACTGCCTCAAGAGTCTGAGCAAACTGCGCGGTCTACCACAGACAGACGCAAAAGTCCAGACCGAGTTCAGGGGAATCATCACAGAGGTTAAGTTCCAACAACTCGTTGAACAACGACAGTATCCTGGAGTGACAGGCATAAAACGAGAAGCTGTGATCTGGATAAGTCTTTTTAACCGACGGACGTGGAAACGAACAGCTGTCGGCACCGGCGTGACATTTTTTCAACAATTCGTCGGAATCAACGCGTTCATCTACTACGCACCCACTCTCTTCGAATCAATCGGCCAAAAGGGAGAGATGACGTTGATTCTGTCTGGTGTTTTCAACTGTCTTCACCTGGTAACGGTCATCATTTGTTTCCTGATCATTGACAAAGTCGGTCGGCGCCCCTTGGCCATCTTTGGTGGCTTTGCCATGGGCGCATGCTACATCATTGTCGCTGTCCTCTCTGCTCTATACGGACCAGACTGGACCAACACATCAGCAGGATGGGCCTGCGTAGCAATGGCATTTATCTTCGTTCTCATCTTCGGAAACACATACTCGCCTCTAGGTTGGGCCCTGCCATCCGAAGTCTTTCCCAATGCGGTTCGCTCAAAAGGTGTCGCACTGTCAACTTGTGTCAATTGGCTGTCCAATTTCATCGTGGGAGTCGTGACTCCTCCGATGATGGCTAATATTGGCTACCGCACATACATCTTTTTTGCAGTGTGGTGTGTTCTTGCAGGTATGTGGGCCTTTTTCTTGGTGCCTGAAACAAGCGGAAAGACGCTGGAGCAGATTGACGAGGTGTTTGGTGATATTACCAGTCAAGAGGAGAGTGAGATTATGAGAGAGGCTACTTCTGCAGTGATCTTCGGTGAAGGAAAGCCTGATGTGTGACTGCATATAAGTAGACATCGTCAGAACCCAAAAAACCCTAACCCAGTTTTGGGTTGGGTTTGCGTCAAAATTTTCAACCCAGCGTTGGGGCCCCAAAGTTGGGTCCTGGAAACCCAAAAAAAGGTACAAATGATGAAAGCATGAGTAAACTCGCGACTGCATAATATCTCCATATTTCGTCGGTATTTTTCAGTATTTTATCGTTTTTTATATTACATCTATATCGTCAGGCTATCCGCAAAATTTATGATTGAATGAATCTCACTCTAGATTTACTAGATTATGAATCTGTGATGCTATATAAAAAGCAGAGACGTTCAATTTATCAATTCCACAATGAAGAGTGTATTATAAAATGAGTAACTAACGCTAATAATAAGTAAAATCATCATCCTAATTTTCTTCTCTTCCTTGGTTATACCCCTCCTCAGTATCACTAATCTGTTGAATGCCTAACTCATCAGTACAGTCCCTAGTATACACTGCTGGCTTATATATGAAGTCATCCGTCGGTATCCCTGGGACAAGATGAGAGGACCAGGTGCTATTGGAGCATAGTACTATTGCAGAAACTTTGCGGCAACTCGGGAGCTACAGTGAGATTTTTGGAAGAAGATGCTCCTATGGAAGGAAGTATTCCAAAATTTCCTATCAACATGACCCATTCTCGGACGTCGTTGAACCTGGAATATCCATCTACTAGAAATATTCTTTACAGTGAGCAGGATGTTATGATAACAGTCATATACCTCGACGAAGCCTGGTCTGAAACCGGGTTATACGTGAGGCGACATGGGTTCTTCGGTTCATTGCCTCCTTGGTCGATTAAGTCTGAATACTCCAGACGGATGTCTTAGCTGATGCATACTGGTGCATCTTTACCACAGATTCATCGTTATAGCGCTGTGGACCTCGACCTTAGGTGTTCGAAAGACGTATATGCGGATCGCCAAAACTGGGCTCCGTGGTTTATGAGTCGCTTCATGTACCATACTACAATATGTCTTCTCAACCATCCGCTCCTCATAATGATCAAGCTCCAAGGGAGGGGACCAATACCGGAACTCTACCTGTAGCAGACATCTTCCCTGGTCCACCACTATACTGATTGGATACTTCACCTTTTTACAATGCTAAAAGAGAAGCAATTCTGTTTGGCTGGTATTATTGTGGGCTATTGTGTGGCTGTTGTTGCGACAATCGAGCTTTATATGAGCTACATGGTCGATTTGGATCAACGACCGGAGAAAAAGAACGTTTCCAACAGTGCATTGATGTTGTCCAAGATCTGGCGGAGCTCTCGCCACATTTACAGGAGATGGTGCGTGGTTCACTACTCCTATAGTACATATGACAATGTAACGCGCACAGTGGCACAATCTTCATCGGCTGGCGGATTCAATTGCCATTCTTCACCTCATATCACAGTCGTGAATCAAAGGTCGACCTTTCCCTGTTCTGCGAGTTCCCCGCATTTTCTCGAGCCCATTCCGGGGCGCTTTTGGGCAGAACACTATCTCATGGATTATGGCATCCTCAGACTGGTGGGGAATTATCTTCTTTAAATGTCCCGTCCAGTGTGACCCGAGTTGAACAAGCTGTCCCTCATCAGAACCACCTACAGCACCGGAATCAGTTTTCACCAACATGCACACCCGTTCCTGCGCAGTCTTCAGCCCCACAAAGCTCTTCGAACGACACGACCATTGATGACCATTTCGTGGATGTGCTCAATCTGTCGTCTGCTCAATTCTTCGGACAGGAGCTCTTTTCTTTGGAGGGCTTAAGCCATATTCGCTAGATTTAGACTATACAAATAGATTACGTGGACCCTTCAACCATACTGTGTATCTTATACCTAAGCTCATTCTACGTAGTAGCTGAAATCAAGGACCAACTGAAGTATGCGAGGACGCACGGTTTCGCAGCATTAATATGGAAGATGACCTCCGTCTGCCTTGTCGAAACTCTCCAAAGTTTATCAATTACGACTAACCTATGTAGCTAAGATATACTTACATATTCAACGGAGCCCAAATCAGCCAATTAGAGAGCCGCAATGACTTACGTTCGGGCTAAGGCTTGAGAAAGCAATGTATGCTATACGGTGCATTTTGATATGTCATTCCTACAAGCTTCCAACTATTATACTGTAGTCTAAACTCTGAAGCATAACGTACATCTGAAGTCTCTCCATCAAATGCTCTTATCGATAAGTCAAGATCTAATCTAATCATAATGCCACGAATTGCCGATACGGCCACGCTCTCCCACTCCGACCTCCGATGACGAGACAGCTCCATTACGGTGTATTATCCAGCTACACGAGAGCAACGTTGCCGTTCAGCTCGATTCTTTGTATATAATACTTGCTACCTTGTTCTAATATCACTGGCTTCTATACGGCGAGTACATACCACATCGCACGCGACAGTTCCCCATGAACAAGAACCCATCTCCACTTTCCACAAGACCCTGAACTCCCGAAGGCCACCATGAACGAGAACGAACGAGGAGCATACTCATACGATCCGTTCAACCCATCATCAGAGTCGCAAACCTCCTCTTTCTCAACTTCTCTGCCTGCGCACACCTTTCTCCGCCAGATTCAGTGCGCCCGCTGCCTACGCCCCCTCCGCACACCTCTCCGCTTACCATGCGGGAATACACTATGCCGGGAATGTCTACCAGCGGTTCAACCAAGGATTGGAATCACATATCCTGCTGGTGAGGGACGGAAGTATCGATTCAAGTGTCCGTGGGAGAAGGAAGAGTCATGTGTGGGGGAGCATTGTGTGGCGGATTGTGGGGTGGATGTGTTGTTGACGAGGTTAGTGGAGGTTGTTGAGGAGGTTCTTGCGGGGGATATACATGGTAGTGAATATGAAGAAGATAAGAGCTTGGATATGAGCTGGGCAGATCCCAATGATTTGGTAGAAACGTGGAAAACGGTGTGTTTGGAGGGTGGAGCCCTGCGGGGTGTTTACCGGATGATAAAAGAGGGACGATTCGACTATGATGCGTCAGATGTGGTTTATGATAGGAAGGATGGCATAGAACAGACATCAGTTGACGCAGTTCTACTTACGCGACTAAAGCAGGTTATACGCGATGAGTTCGACTGCCAGGTCTGCTACTCGTTCATCTCAGACCCCCTAACGACCCCCTGCGGCCATACATTCTGTCGCAAATGCGTTGAGCTGGTCTTGAACCACTCAGACCTATGTCCCCTTTGCCGACAAAAGCTCAACATGCCTTCAACTATTCAATCTGAGCCCATTAACAGCCCTGTCGCGGGACTAATGGAATGTCTATTCCCAGACCAAGTTTCCTCGCGTCGAGAATCCCTCGCCCAGAACGAAGCAAGTCTAGACAACGAGCAAATGACCCCCCTCTTCGTGAGCTCAATAGCATTCCCAACAATGCCAATCTTCCTACATGTCTTTGAGCCCCGATATCGGATCATGATCCGCCGTATCATGGCAAGTCGAGAACGCAAGTTCGGTATGGTTGCGTACAACCGTGCTCGGCGGCGGCAGGGTGGACTGGGAAGGATACAGTTTATGCAATATGGCACTTTAATGCTGGTGGATCGGTTTGAAATGCTTCCTGATGGGAGGAGTCTTGTGATTGCGACAGGGGTTTCCCGGTTCAAGGTTACAAAAGCGGATATGCTGGATGGGTACCATGTCGGACAAGTTGAGCGGTTGGATGATGTTCCCATTACAGTGGAGGAGAGTAATGAAGCCGCAGAGACTGCTGTTTTTGCAGAGACATTGACAGAGTCTCAGCAGCCCTCGGAGCCCCAGGAGGAGACGCAAAAATCCCTTGAATCTATGTCGACCCAGCAGCTATTCGATCTGGCGTTGGATTTTGTCCGCACGCAACACCGCATTGGAGCACCGTGGCTACATCCCCGGGCTCTAATGGCGTATGGGAACGAACCAACCGATCCATCCCGGTTCCCTTGGTGGTTGGCGAGTATCCTTCGTGTTTCCGACGAAGAGAAGTACCGTCTCTTATGCGCAACAAGCGTGCGAGAACGGTTAAAGATCAGCGCACGGTGGGTCAAGAAGCTTGAATCTGGAGAACGGTACGTCGCTATTAGTACGCATACATCAATGGACGCTAACTTAACCAGCTCAAATCGCCCATTGATCATGTCTGTCTTATGACTAGCCGTCCCTCTCTTTGTATTTTCTGTGCTCCCACTACTACTCCCCCCAGGGACAACGTTATCATCCCCGAGCTTTATCACCTCCTTTGCCCCATTTTCCATGTCCGTATCGGTATCATTCGGGTCTGCGCCTTCGACCTTTGACCGTCAGCGCCCTGTTCCACAGCAGCGAAGTCCTAATACTCAGACGTATCTTCCGCAGACGCTCGTCTTGGGACTGTTTCTGCTTATCTTTGGGGCGCAGATTGCCGTAAATATGGCGCAGATGAGACGGGTCCAGCGACGGAGACTTGGCGAGGGGGTTCGGAGGACCATCGTTGTTAATGGACCCGAGCCAGGCCATCAGGAAGGAGAAACTATAGTGGGAGAGCGGAGAGATAGAAGCGAGGGAGTAGTGAGAGAGGGTGCTGGGGAAGAGCCTAGGGAGCGTCCTGGGGAACGTCTTGAGACTAGGGACGCCGGATGAGAGTTCAATCTACATGAGAGGACAGGCGTGACCAGAGAAAGAGTTTGTATATGAAATTGGCTATTGTAGATGTCCGCATCATCGTGTTTGGATCCCGATTATCTGGAATATGTACTTGTTATCTATGACCGAGGCCGATACCGAACGAAACTCTTGTATGCATTGGGAATCAGTAGCCAGAAGGCAGATGCTTGGGCTCAATACTCACAATGGTAAGCAATACTCGCCATTTGGGAATCACCATAGAAGATATTGTTAGACTTCTCTTTCTACACTCCATCCACCACCGACAAGCTCCACTTCTCGTCATATGCACTTCTTAAATCATATCACCTCCAGATCTATCTATAGTTGCGACTTCTTCACTGCATTATGTTCTAGTTATGTTCACATTTTCAGCAATACTTGTTTGATGGACTGCAAAGATATGGGGCAAGATATATCGTCTTGTGGATGGAATTGCATAAATATCACCACATCTCCATAACTCGTCTCTATACTGCCAGTCAATTGTTTTGACTAATAATAGTAAAGAACTCACCATGCCATATCCCGGCGTTGTACAAATCTTATATAAAGATTCCGGGCAAGCCACATATCTACACACCTACACACTTAATAGAGGGGTTGAGCAACATTCTATTGACCAAGAGTAGTTAAATACACAACACACAACACACACGTGCACATAGGGAAATTGAGACTAAGAGAAACTGGTAATGGGAGACGTACATAACATCATCCATAAAGAATCTCAAACAATCGATCAGCCTTCTTGTCCAAACGTTTCATATCGGCTTTATGCTCACGAAGGAATTTTGATACAATTTATCCAACTCAGTAAATCCAATTTTCAGAGACATATCCTTGGCGTCAAAAAATTCCTCATCCCCTTCATACCATGACTCCTGATCGTCGTCTATGTCAATATCGCTGGGGAGTCTTCCGCGGGACATGAACTTCTGCTCATCTCCTTTGTACCAGGATTTCCCGTCATCATCAGATTCGGGTTCTGGAAATGGGAACCGGTTCCAGGGCGGTTTCTCATGGAATTCCATCATAGCTGAGTTTGCTGCGTTCCTGGCTAGCTCTTTCTTTGAAGACACCCATGGTTGCATGGCATTTGCCAGATGGCGGAGGTTCTTCTTGCCATGCTTGATTGTCGTAACGAATGGTGTGATCTTAATCAAGTGCATGTTGCTATTGTTGATGGTAGTTGTAATAGATCTGTAAATGGAAGAAAGAAGAAGGGAGAGGAGAGCGGGCTTAAATAGCCAGCTGCAAGGCATTCGCATTGTATCCTCCGTAACTACGGATACACCTAGAACTTCCTGAACCGTGGATCCGGGAGGCTGCAGTTATTCCTTGAGAACGTATTCAGGTGACATAGTTGACTTCTCTGCACGAATCGTGGGTCAACTGGGATCAGGAGTACATTACTGACTTGTTTTGGTGTAAAAGGAATTTCATCCGGGGTTTGAGATGGTCAACCATGAATCGATTCAGGCACAGGTGATTGACTAAAATTGATTGGTTTTCTTCTCCTTGGGGCCTTCTGGGGAAAGTTAATTCGTGACATGTGGTCACCAAAAATATGGAACCATACCTAAAATGATGCGCATTATGTTGCCTTTTCTCGTTACCCAGGTGGCTCACTATATGAGTACTACATCGGCATGGTAGCTTGTGTAGTGACGATGCACAGACACTACCGATAACAAGGCGTTGATAATACAGATTGACTGGCTTCCTACAGTTATTGATAAACTTTATCTTAAAGGGGAGCGCACAAACATCCCTCATCCCCAGATTCTCCCACACTAAGTAATACAATGTCTCATAATAATGGCAAGCATAGCATACTATAATCGATCAAATCCCAAATAGCGACCTTACCCGCAGGGCCATCACTGTCTTAGTTTCTCGCCATAAGCTGCTTCGGGTCCCGGAGCAACTTCTTCCAGAAGCCTTGTGACACGAACTCGTTATCGTTGTCGTTTTTGTTGTCGTCATCGATATCTCCAGTTACCCTGAACTGCATAAAAACCACCATATCTTTCTCTCCTTCGTCGGGAGCAGGTACCCCGGTATCAGTGATGGTGATCTCGCAGTAACTTGGGGTCACGTTGGCCAGCGTCACTCTGTTCTCGAACGTGGCCGTAAACTTCTCCTTGAATGGTGGCCACTTCATGGTCTTTGCCAGATTCTGAAGACACTTCTTGCTCTGTTTGAGGTGAGAAACAAATGCTGTTGTTGCTGTAGCAGTAGACATTTTGCTGTTGGTCGCCAATGCTGGTAGCTCATACTTAGTTGATGAAAGGAGGGAGAAGTTTGGGGAGGGGCTTTTATACCTTGCCTGGGCCCGATTGCTGCCTGTCTTTGGCTTTATTTTTGTACACAAGTCATCGATGTAATTGATTCCAGGCTGCTATTTTATCTGTCAGTCGAGGGAGAGGAGCAGTATAGCAGATTGGAAGGAGGATTGGTAGTTACGTGAGATATCAGAGCAGCTGTAGGTAGGATATGATAAGCTTCTAAGATAGAAATCCTACTATAATGAATATATCCATAGTCTATTCTCGTCGTAAGCATTCATAGACACATCGTTCATCCATTTCACATGCTCTCCTCAGACTAACGTGACGAGGCTCAACGATAGATGTTGTTGCAGTATGATACACAACTTCAATAACGAATCAGGCTCTCGCTTCATCAGCAACTTTTTATTATCTTTGCAATATCACTAATAATACCGCCTCTCCTTGGGGCTTGCTTCGGGTCATTACGAAACTACCGGAAGACGGTTTCCAACGGATATTGTGGACGTGCGATGGTTACGTCCGGCTTGGATACCCTGGGTCGGATAGTATTTACCGAATCATTCTGGCTCAAATGTGACTGTCAATGACTTAATTCCAATTCTCTCCGGGTAGTTCTACTTCAAGCCTCCAACCATTACCCATGGGAAGTTGACCTATGACAACACAATTTAAGAGTATGCGAGTCATCGATAAGTCAATCTTCAGCTACCTCGTTGATTCGATGCTGCCGTGGAGTAAATAAACAAAGAAATTCACTACCGAATTAGCCAAATGTGTCAAAGGTGGAAGGCAGATGCAAAGCTGCTTTCATTTAACATATTCAACCTATAAGAGTTCGAAAGTGTCAAGATCTCATCCACAGCAGCTGAGAAAGATCGATCTCCAGAGAGACGACTTCGGCCTTCCAGAGCACTTTGAAGCACTGCTCTAAGGAGAAAATGATCTAGTGAACAATGCTAAAGAGAAGGAAGTCACTATCCTTCTACCAGAGATTGATTCTTCATCTACGAAACCTCCGACTAGTCAGCCGGTCCTTAAAACCACGGATTGGTTGACCTGCCCAAAAGCTACTGGTTTCTGTCTTCTGTAACGCTAAAAGTGCGGAACAGAATATTGAATTGAAAGATCAGCCTTATGTAAACCACGGTACTATTTGGTGAGCAAGATGCAGCAGCCCTTGTGGGCACGATATGCGCTACGCGATATTGTATGGGAAACGGACACACGTCTGACTTTTCTTAATGCCTGAAAATGTACGTCAACATTTTCTAGTCTGCTTCTACAGTTCTCGTCTGATTTAACACTTAAAAACGCCGTGCAACAGGTTGCTCAGCCTGATTCCACCTGCTGCGCAACAGGGTATATGTGCGACTCTGAGTATTTGCTCCCTATATCATTGATTAACAATTGCACCGGAATCAGTATAATTACTACAGCCATAAAGCTTGGTTTCACTGCCGGCCGCTTTAAAAAAATCTCATTGTGAATGGACAGGCAAATTGGCTAAAAAGGGTAATCAGACTGCTCTTTACGTAGCGGCGTTTATTCATGATCTATACTGTAAGTAATCAAAATACCCATCCGAGTATAACGGGCCGCTGACATTCACAGGGATATTTGAAGTTGTGAATCACGCTCAGGGATTTCAGATATTTTTGCCAGTCTCCACCTATACGAGCCATTACATAGTCACTCGTCCAATCAAACTCGGTGACTTTCATGAAGGGACATCAGTCATCGAACTTCAGTAGCACGGCGCTCTGATAGCGGTCAATTTGAGGAATCACGCACAAATGATGTGTCATTATATAATAGTTGTCTTGCAACTGAAAACTCCCAATAGGGGCTGGTAAACCGCTGCTCCGTCAGTGTACAAGCTTCTCTTGCTTAGGGCTACATTGCTCGGATGACGATTAGATACCAGAAGAGCAGCTCATAGGCAAATTAAATATCCTATTCCACATCCTAGATATTTTCCGCAACGCCTAGAGGTTTGCATGAAGGATGGAGAAACTTTTCGTCGTGTGTTGAACTTAGGTGGGGTCAATTGCACATTGGATTGAATCGCCCAACAAAAGTTCTATTGGTCTTATTAATACTTGAGAGTATCATCAAACCCTTCAATTAGCAACCCTATAGATGATAAATTATTTATTTAGGTCGTGGATCTAACTGTTATGGTCGCTTTCGTCCTGCCCAGTCGGGAGACGTGCTTTATTGAGCCTTCTGCACCTGGGGCTGGGTACTGGTCAACGGAAGATCTGACTCATATACCGACAATTCGACCATATTACCGTCTCATACATCGCCCAGGTAGCTGCCATAAATGGACCACAGCGGGGGCATTATTTCTCATCGATAATTCTTTCATGGAAACCACCAGCTCTGTGGAGGTCGCCAGGAGCAGTGCTGCAGATTATATCGGACGCCTATACCACTGCTCTATTTTTGAATCAGTCCATGTAGGTGCATCATGCCCTAAATCAACGGTGATGCAACGACGTAAAATGGGTGAAGTTCGATCGAGGCTTTAACTACGATGTAGACGGTTTCATGATCTAACTCGTCAATATTGCTCGCAATCCACCGAGCCATCCTCTATACATTCAGTCAACTGCTGGGGGCTTAAAAAATAGGGATATTATAGTTATCATAGTTTTATTAGAAAGAAGGGCCCAAAAATACAACAAATTGCCATAGCCTCACTATACCTCAATTATTTCTAATGTCCAGTGTGGATCAGGTTTAGACGATTATGATTCCTGTTAGGGTTAGACACACCTGGTTTATGCATTTATTTATGTGTGCATTACTTTTATACACAAAGGAATTCCGCTCAGCTTCAAGTCTCCCACCCAACATCGTCTCTACACACTTTTATACCTCAAGGATAGAATAGCTTTACAGAAGGTAATCTACCAACACTATTCATATAAAATATCTCTTGCTATTTTCCTTGGCCGTTAATGAAATCCAGTCACGCGAAATATGGGCTTCCTAGACACAATCATAAGCTTCATCGAACGCCTCGTCAGACTATTCATCGGGGCCAACGAAGAGAAGCTATACGGTCTGGACCATGCAATTCTCAACGTCGAGGTTCCACCTAGGAATATGTGGATGAATATGGGGTATTGGAAGGTGTGTATCCCTCTCGTCTTTATGAGCGATTTGTTGACGGAATGATAGGATACAAAATCGTTCCCTGAGGCTTGTGAGGCATTGCTGGAGCTGATTCTTATTACAGCGGGGCTTTTGAATGAGGATAAGACGGTCGCGAGTACTCCCAGCGCGATAAAACTCGTCGATGTTGGAATCGGTTGTGGTGACCAGTCTCTTTATTTAACCAGGAAGCTCCCTGTCGCTGGTCCGGATGAGCAAAGACGTGTTCTGGTCGACTCATACGTTGGAGTAACATTCGCACGCTCCCAAGCGGACTTTGCGCGAGACCGGCTGTTGAGCAGGTCTTCCGATTCTGACACTGCAGCCTGGACACCCGATGTGAGAATCTTTGCTGCAGACGCCGCTAAACCTGATTCCTGGGAACCTGGGCTTAAGACAGCCGTCTCAAATGACCACGGTCACGACAAAACTCAAACATGGCTCCTAGCTCTCGACACCCTGTATCACTACAAACCCTCCCGCACACCCCTCCTCACTCTCGCATGTTGTAACCTCCAAGCCTCCTTTATGGCCTTCGATCTCCTTCTCGACTCCTCTGCCTCATTCACTAGTAAGCTACTCGTCCGATTGATGTGTCTGTTGTCGGGAATCCCGTACACAAATATTCTCACGACGACGCAATACGAGGATATGTTAGTCCAGGCCGGGTATGACCGCGATACAATACAGATTCGCGATATCTCAGAACATGTGTTTCCGGGGATTTCGGCTTATATCCGCGAGAAGGACAGAGCATTGAAGAAGTTTGGGATGGGAGTAGGAAAGTTTAAGGTACCGGGGTGGCTTTTTGGGTGGTGGGGTAGGTCGGGGGTTATTAGAGGGGTTGTTGTGGTCGCGCGACGTTAGTCTGGTATACAAGATTCTGCGAATGTGCCCACGATTTTATTGGTGCATCGCATACAATATTGGATGAATGTCGGAGTCCATAAATGTCTAATCTCGCGAGGATCGTAGGATCCCGCAACGCATCCAAGCTAACTTTTTTCGGAACCCGACTAGCGATAATCAATCCTGTGGGGTGAGAATGCGAATCTTGAACACAGAGGCCTATCGGGCTTATTTGATGAAGCACTAGCATGCTAAGCCTTTTTGAGTTCCCGATCAAGAGATAAGTCGGGCGAAGCAATGGTGAAGAATATATAAATACGAAGGATGTTCTCCCGGTCCAACACGGCATCGACAAGCCTACTAAATCAAAGCAGATAAACTACATCTTCCACGTTAGCAACTCGATAATCGCACCATGAACCCCGTCAACACAAAGCCCTACACCCTCCCATCCGACGCAACCTGGCTGAGTACCGCCCCCATAATCCACCCCACCTGCACCTGATACTAACACAATCCAACCAGTAACCGGCTGCTCCTCCGGCATAGGTCGCTCCCTGGCAATCCTCCTGTCCTCCAAGCCCAATCAACGCATAATAGCAACAGCCCGCAACCCCTCATCCCTCTCGTACCTCCCCTCCACCCCCAACATCCTCAAATTAGCACTAGACGTGACTTCCCCATCGTCCGTCGACACAGCATTCACGGCTGCAGCGCAGTACTTCGGGGAGGGCTTCCATTTAGACGTTGTCGTAAATAATGCTGGCTACTCACTATCTGGTGATACCGAATCCGCAACCGAGGAAGAAACGCATTTAGAAATGGAAACGTTGTTCTTCGGGACTGCACGGATTACCACGCGTGCGTTGCCGCTTATGCGCCAAGAAACTGGTGGGAGGAAGGGAGGTGTGATTTTTAACATTTCGAGTCTGGCGGGTTTATGTGGGTTTCCGGGACATGCATATTACCACGCGGGGAAGTTTGCGGTGGAGGGGTGGTCGGAGTCTGTGGCGAGGGAGATCCACCCTGATTGGAATGGTATGTCTTTTATTGACTTGACCCATGATTGTTTATGAGGTGGTTGCTGACAGGATAGTCAATATTTGTATTGTCGAACCAAGCGGCGTGAAGACCAACTTCGATGGCCACTCCAAAGCACGTATACAGGCTCATCCTGACTACGCCGGTGAGGACATGCCTTCCCGGAAGCTTGAGAAGTATGTGAACATGGGGATCAAGTCTGGGATTGGTATGATGGAGCCGAGTGCTGTGGCGGAGACGTTGTGGAATGTTGCTAGCCGTGGAGAGAGAGTGCCGTTGAGATTGCCGTTGGGCGCAACGTGTTGGAAGATGGCAAAGGCACGATGTGAGGGTTTTATTCAGGAACTTGAGGTGGTTAAGGGTGTGAGTACTTTTGGGGAGGGTGTTTAATTAGATGTTGTTGTGGTTTGAAATGTATATGAATATTAGGGTATCTATGATTCGTATCATTCATTGATATGTTCATGATGTGACATACATTCATTCGTCAGACATAAATTTGCGTGCGAAAATATATACCTGTAGCAACCTGCAAACAGGTAGGGCAATTGTTGACTTCAATCGCTTTTCTCCACCCACGGCACTTCAACACCCAAGCTATCTGCAACCTTCATTGCAGACTCCATACATCCCTCAAGCAACACCATGCCATCATAACACCAAGACCCCACGAGCCAGACGTTCCCGTCGCCATTGCGCCAGAGCCGTTCCTTCTCGCCCTGGCCAATGGGTGTGCCATTGGCCATTAACTGATTGACAATTTGTCTGCTCTTCACGCTTCGCAGTGTCCGTGAGAATTGTACGTGATGAACGATTTTCGATGGATCGATAGGAGATATGGGGAAATTCGTAACATAGACAGAAGATGGGTGTTCGTGATGTGTTTCCGTGGCAGTGGCATCGGAGCAGATGTGCAAGACGTCGCGTTGGTTGCCTGGCTTGGTGGCTTGGATTTTCGTCTCCTCACCACAATTGGGAATAACAGTTGCATCGCGGTGGATAATTGATTGAACGGGGACAACAGGTATTGACTTCATTACTCCACGGAGAGGTTGGTAAATCGTGCCCACAACGTTCGGTGTCACTGCCATGACCACATGGTCAAATACAGCAGAACCTTCCTTTTCCCCATCGACCCATGTAACGCGTGCTTTCGTACCGATATGTTCCACGGAAGTGACAGTAGTGCGAAGTTTAATGGACAGACCATTGGCGATGGTAGCTTGGACATGCTGAACGCCACCGGTGACGTAGTATCGCGGCCGGCGGTATGTCTTTTTCGCGAATTCCACAAAATCCCTCGCTGGGAAATCCAGAAGCTCTTCATGCGAGCAGGTCGTGATACTCGTGAGCATGGGGCAAATATATGTTCGGATAAAGTAGCGTGGCAACCAGATGCGTTCGAGATACTGTCGGAGTGATTCCTCTTCGTGGTGAGCGGTGGCTTCCTTCGACTGGACGAAGAAACAGCACAGCGTGAGCCAGAGATAGCAGAGTCCCAGATACGTCGTTTCTATAATCCAGCTGGTGTAGCTGCTCGTTGGCGGACGGACCGGTGGGATTTGGTGGTTCGCAGACGAGTAAATGAAATGAGGTGTGTTTCTCCCGCAGAGTGTCGTTAACGGATATATAAACTTCTTCGTTCCATACTGTATCCCGAAGTAGTCGTACATGCGTTTCAGGTTATTGTGAAAGTTGTCATCGAATGCGCGCATGGGTAGGTCAATGCGATAAGGCGTCGAGTCGTGGCCATGGTCTTTCGTGATGGTGTAGGAGGCGGAGTCTAGAGAGAGATGATCTTGCTGCGCTGTGTTAGCACGAGTATTTTGACAAAGGTAGTAAGATTTACGGTTTCAAACAATTGCACATCATATCGGCCCTTCTTGTCCTGCTGGAGAAGAAACGCAGTGACCAGACCAGCCATGCCCGAGCCGACAACGGCGACGGTTTGCTTGTCCGCCATGACGCCAATGGCTTAACAGAATGAATATAAAATATAACAATATGCCAGGGTCCTCCCCGGGAACAATGCTCAAAAATTAAAAAGGGTGCTGGGAAATTAAAGTCTTCCAGTAGATTCTGGTTGGGGTTCAGCTGAAAATCGGCTGACTAACCTCTGTGTTCCACGTGGATCCCAGGATACGCGAGTACACAGGTCATGTGCCGGTTCAGAGAAGCCGGAAGCCGGCCCCACCAGTCTTGGCATAGAGTACACAGGTCATGTGCCGGTTCAGAGAAGCCGGAAGCCGGCCCCACCAGTCTTGGCATAAGCGGCGCGGCACCTGACCTTTTAAATACCATTGTACGAACAGTGAAATTCAATCCTAAATTTCCTTCTGTAAATATTTCATTCTTCTAGCTTAAAAAAGCCCAGACTACTTTTCACTAGTTACCACTCAGTTATTAACTGCTTACAACTGTCAATATGGATCCAGAAGATTCTTCGAGAAGTTCTGGCGAGGAAGAGGACATAATTTCAAATATTGATGATGCTGCTGAAGAGGTGAGAAATCCGGTTACCAAAATAATCCTAATTTCCAAGTACTTACTAACTACTTGCAAATTATTTAGCAACCAAGTGCTTTCACTCACTTAACAGATGCAAAATCAAATCCACTTCAAACACTGTTTATTGAGTATACAGATGATCTGCCAGAGTACCCAAGAACACATATACATGGGTATACCTATATTGTATCTGTTGTTGGCCGATTACAAGAAGCAGAACATCTAATACAAGATGTATGTACTTGTACTCATTTATAACTGGTTAACAAGTAGTCGGCAACTAGTTATTAACTAGTTGAAAGATACAATACTCCCGCGCAAGTATCCGTGGTGCCAGAGCAAGTGTCAAGTCATCATTTCTAAACTGTTCAGTGAAGAAATGGATGTGGAAATGTTCTGGGGCTTTGATATGTGAATATTTAAAGCCAAGTCTTCGTACACTATATCACACTTACCTTGATGAGACTGCATGGGAGGAAATCCAGAGTATTCGAAAGAATATTGATTTGATTGAAAGGGACATCCGAAAGCGAAATGCATATAGGTGGCTATGTTTCAACTGCCTTATAACTAGTACGTAACTGATTGCTAACTAATTATGATTTTATTCTAGTCTTTATCGGTCAAAGAAGACATTCTTTCAAAAAGGCCATGCATGTCTTGAGCAACTCCCAACCTGTGCACCAAGATTTAGAAGGCACTTTTATCCTGTAAGGATAATTACTACTTCATGATTAGTTCAGCATTGGTTTCTGACTAGTTATATAGAACGTGAACAATGAATACCATCTAGACCTCGTAAGGAGTCGCGACTCGTCAGGTTCGATTCGACTCAGAACCGCCAAGATTCAGGGTCAGGTTCCAAGGCCTTGGAGTCGCGATCCGACTTCAGGATTTTTGGAATCGAACCTGGCAGGTTCGACTCGAACCTCAGGTTCCACAAACAGTGCAAACATAGGAAATCCTGTGATATGCATATTTTATGCACATCCTGTCTGTAATTTTGTGTAATTGGTTTACAGTTCAGGCAGAGATCAGAGCAAATAATTCTAGTAGGGAATCAGCTGAGAGCTTTCATGTTTCTAATCCTACTTCTAATCCTACTATTCTTTAAGGCTTATTATACACAAACTGATCCTCATCTCACCTCAGACGCTTTGGAACCCGTCCTGATGTTCGCCTCCGAGTATTATTTTCGCCATACAGGTTGCTGTTGTCAGGCAGAGGATTTTCATCCTCATTGTTCTCATTATTTAGTTCATTCAGTGCCTCCTGGTCCTCTGTAATATCAATCCTGGGCCTTTTACTGGGCACACACTCACTGGGCAGCCGTAGCAGCGGGGATATAGTCACTGGGGCATCTTCCTCATCATCACTAATTGGATTGAATTCATCTCCTGTTTTATGTGCATCCTTTTCTTCCCTTGCTGCTTGGATCTCCCAGGCTGTGAGGTATTCATCAACAAGGGCTAGCTGCTCTGATTCAATATCAAATTTTGATGTACACATAAACATCATAAGATCCCTTATTGTTGTGGATTTGAGAGAGCCTTGACGGTAGTGACATATATCACGAGCTGAATTGAATAGTTGTTCAACACCAGAACCAGTAGCAGGTGTTGTAAGCACATCTCGTGCTAGGCTTGCAAGGATAGGAAATTCATGCTGTTGATCCTTCCAGAAAAGCCGCGGATTGATCAGACGAGTGCCTAGAAATAAGATAAGCAAGGGAGATAGAAGAGGTCAGGGTGAGTAGCATACTGCTTCCAAGATATCGTGTAAGTTCATTGTTGACGTCCATCTGTGGCTGGAAGGCTGTAGTTGATGTGATAAGCATATCAATATCAGAGACCTGATCGGCCGAATATTGACCATTGGATCTAGGCTGTGTATCTGAATATTGCTGTTGGTAGGGCACAAGGCAATCCTCAAGGCTTTTGCGGTATCGTACGCGCCAGCATGGCTCCCAATCCTTGGTTGAAAAGAAATGAAGCTTATTTTGCGGGGCCAAAATTGTACCAATTGCATACAGATCACCAGGGATTTCATCAGTCATGCTATAATACTGGGATAGCTTCAACTTGGCTTGCTTTAGGGCAGATAGCATCACTGTCTTCCAGTTGACCTTCTTTCGTGCAAGCTTTGCCATCGATTTCTCTAGATGACTGAACAGTTTGTTGTAGATACCAAAAATGGTATGGACAGTGATATCCTTACTCTTCGACAGGGTGGTTGTGAAGGTATAAAAAGGCTGGGTGATTGTAAGAAGATAATCAACCTGCCGCCATTCCTCTTGGCTTAGCTGTAGATCATGGCGACTGTACTGCATACAGAATTCATCACAAACAGTTTGTAGCCGCTTAGCACGTCGAAGCATCAGATATGTTGAATTCCAGC